ATTTCTGTGAGAATTGTTGTTAGGTGTTACTATGTGTTTTCGAAAATCTCATCATCTCACAAAGGAATTCGTTTCCTACTGGGTACGTGAATTTCTATTTGTAATAGTTATTTTGCTTTGCTAAATAATTTGGCTTAGAAAACACGAATTACCAGTGACAATCGCGAACTAGTCGATGTATACCTACCTACATTGTTCGCGTTCGAAGTTTTCCTGATAGAATTTCCTCAGTAAATTAGGTCCTTTGAGAACGTTTCCTTGTGAGTAGCGTTACTCCAAACACTTTTCATCCAGCATTCGGTTTTCCGGGCAGTGTTTTCCTGTCAGTTCTTCCCGGAAGAATAAACAGGTAAGAAGCGAACGAAACAATATTGTATAGTCTGATGTTGTATTTCATTATTATCTTGGTGAAAAATCGCAGGAGTTTTCCCAATCATATTCTCCTTCCTGTTTTCCATCCAAACTTCTGCATTCATATTCATATGTTCGGAAGCTTTTTGCACCGGAAAGTAATTTCCATGTTGACAGAATAAGTCAAACAATGAAAAATGCTCAAACATACATTCCATTTCATCGGCCGTCGTAATATTTTATTGAAAAGGGGCATATCCCAATAAAGTGGATTAAAACAGTATATAGTTTATTATTATCATTATTATTATTAATATTATTATAATTTTTTAACGGCTATAATAGATTAGTTTAACGTTAACTCAACATTGACTTAATATCAACTTAACATCCACTTAACATCAACTTAACATAAATTTAACAGTTTCTTAACATTAACTTGAAATCAACTTAACATCAACTCAACATCAACTCAACATTAACTTAAAATCAACCTAACATTGACTTAACATCAACTCAACATTAACTCAATAATTATTCAACATTAAGTCAACATTAAATCAACATTAACTCAAAATTGACTTGACATTACCTCAAAATCAAATTAACATCAACTCAATATCAAATTGACATTAACTTCACATTAATCACTAAATTGCCAATACATTGACATTAATTCAACTTTCAATTGAAATTAACTTGATTTCAACTTTTCATCAACTTATAACATTACGTCAACATTAACGACAATAACTCGTGTTAAATCGACACTAGCTTTTCATAACTTGACCATTACTTAACTTACCATAATTCAGCATAATGATCATTCATTGGTACATCATAATCTATAGACCCTGTTACTGTTCGATTTTCCAATATTTCCACCCATGTGAGTTTTGCTTTCGAACTTTCTAACTGTTATATGTTGTCATAGTGAAACGAGTTACTTTCTCAATAACAAATCAAAGTGTTTTGTGCTGTTTTCATAGGTACTACTATCCGCACTTGGTAGGTAAATAACTATTGCATGTCACTTAACAGCAGAAAATTGGTAATCAAAATTGATACTGACATTGGGTGAATACGAAATGATGATGATGGAAAATCACGCAAAACTGGTTTTCAACATTTGGAGAAAAAAATAAATCTTTGGCTATGAACTTTGCTGCCTAGTAAAACAAATGTCTATTTTGGATTCAACATCCAGGCAGAGACATACAAGTCTCGTAGTACACTAATACCGAAGCTTTGGAATAAATTGCTCGATGAATGGTGTCAAGTTCAGGGCTTTACATCAAAGCTCGATAAAATTAAATCTCAAGAAAGAATGGACCGAAAAGTTGTGCAGAAAATGCTGCGTCAGATATCGCATTAAAGGAGGCTCTTGTTTGGAATAGTGGAAAAATATGCTAATTCAAATTGCATTTGTCTGGATCAAGGGATTTCCTGAAGGGAATTCAGGAACAAATTTCACAGGCACCTGGATGGAAAGTTGAATTTCCCATGTAATACAAGCATTGTTCAGCGTTGGAAAATCTGTGAAATGATCCCTATCTATTTCACGGCGAAACCATCATTTAATAGCTGTTATTTACGTAACGAGTGGAATATGGACACTATTAACGCACGCATGTGAGCATTGCACGACGAAGCCGTAGGCAATACATACCAATTTTTTTTTTGGAAACTTCTTCATACCAAAAACACAATACAGGGTGTTCCTCCGGGAACTGCATCGATCAATATATAGAAAACCACAGGTGGGCCGGATTTGAAAATTCGGGAGTTAACTATTGTTGATAAGTGCTATCCGGCTAGAATATTTCGAAAATTGTGGCACTTCCGGTTGTACCGGAAGTGGACCCCAACTTCGTTATTTTGAATAGGACACCCTGTATATTATCAAGGTTTCAGATTTAACGCATGATTCTGAACATATTTCATGTATAATGTCCTATACCCAAGTCTCACCGTTTTCGAAATATTTCAAATTTCAAGTTGTATTCAAAATAAGGCAGTAAATAATAATTCCGGAATAACTGATAAAGTGGCAACATCGACGATAATATTTTCAAATTCACCACGTTTTGAAATCACCCTGTATATATATTCAAAAAATCTAACAAACGGTTACCGAGATATTCATCTGGTTCCATACTTTTGCCCAACCCTGTATATATTTCCGAGAACAACTTGAACTTTGGGCTACTCAAAGTGAGAAAGTGAGACAAACTGTACATAATATACGTTTGATCAATGTTCCTCAACATTTTTGCTTGGACTGACGGATACTTTTTGCAATGTCGATCATCACGTTTTATTATATTTCCAGAATATGTAAATTAAGACACTTTTCACAGTGATGAAAAATCTTTCCGTTGATTGAGTTAAATAAAAAGTGCAGAAGCTGAGTGGCAAGAAGGAATATGTGAATAAAAGCATAACATAATTTCGTGATTCGCTTCAGAAAGATATTCAATAATTCCCTAAGGAAGTGGAAGATTTGATTTGATCGGAAATGTTTTGCCATGTGTAATGCTATCGAAAGATTCAATAAGTCTGAGAATCGAGCGATTCGAATATTTTGAGCCACTGAATACATACGTGAATAAAAAATGAGACATATATAGCGCAAAAAAAAGTAGGTACCTACCTACTGAACTTTATTCCCTTAATTCAGACTTTTCTTAGATATATGTGTATACAAGAAGAAAGAGAGAATCGTTGGATCAAGCAACATTTACTTCAAAGAAGTGAATATAAGTGATTATGCACGACAAAATATTATCTTGAGATGAGTAACACTACACCTATCTTGTTTCAGAGCCAATTTGAAGTTTTTTTAAATGTTCTGCTTTCCACGAAAAGGGATATCCTGTAATGTTCAGAGAACATCGTGAGAACCAAGGGAAATAAGGTAGGCATTGGTGTTCTTCCTTAATTTCTGGAAGTTAAATGCCTCGGGGGACACCTCCCTTGGCAATGTGTTCCAGAGCCTCGCTGTTCGTTGGATGAACGAGTCTTTGGAATGAGATTTTCTGCAGGTCTCCAAAGTGACCACGAAGGGGTGCGAAGCCTCGACTCGACGGGTTAATCTCGCGAGGAATGCCAAGGGAGGAACAATTGTTGATATTTCAGAGGAGCATCGTCCATGAAAATATCTATAAAATAGAGCCAGATCGCCAACTTTTCTACGGTGTTGCAGAGAAGTGAGTGAGTTTGTGAGCGAGACATCACCCACGAGACGAATTGCCCTTTTTTGAACAGAATCCAACAGTTTCATGGTATTGTTCGGGTGCTGCACTCCAAATATGGGAACAGTATTCCAGGACAGGTCGGATCTGTGCCTTATAGATCATAAAGCAGCTGACTGGAAGTGAAATAGCTCCTGGTCCGAAACAGAAAACCAAGTGAATATGTCTTGGATGAACTCTAGATCTGATTCATTCAAACATATACATGAATGGTTCATGAAGAGAATTGACAAGATATCGACTCAATGAAATTTTCCATTAAAACAATGAAATATTTGGTTGATTCAATAGATACCTAATGTATTTCAATTTGACAAATCATTTTGTTGATTCACATCTCAATTATTGTGTGATAAAGATCAGCTTTGGTTGATTCTGTACATGGTTGTTCTACCTAAAGGTTAAACTGAAAAACTGCCAGCAGGAAATTCTGATTCATTTGTCTTTTCTTGAAGATATGGGTAGATGAAAAGGGGGAATTTCTCAACTTCAACACCCTGTATCTCAAAAACTGGTCATAGGATCGGATTTGGACTCGGCATGTTCGATCATTAGGTCGAGTTCTATAATATACCACAACTTCAGGAAATTCGACAGAACGCCATTTTTATATTGAAAAAGTGCGGGGTCCTTTCATTTTGGCTTGTTAAGCTTCCTGAGTTTGATTAATTTAGTTGATATTTCAGAAATGAGAAGCAAGCTTTATGTATACTTCACTATCTAGGAGAGTTTAATATTATTAAATCATTGGTATGAAGCAGGAGAAGCAGGTATATGAAGCATTATTTCATTAATATCCATTGTCGAATGGTCCAAATGATCAACGCGGTGTCATAATGGACCATAAATGATATATTTCCTAGAAAATATTGACTATAAACCCGGAAATTTACAGTGGATTTGATATCGAAAAAGCAATTCTCCTGGCCATCTGTACTGTTTTATCTCTATCGTTCATTCCAATTTACATAAATGATTCTCATTCAATATTGACGGACGGCATATGAAAATTAATGTTCATAAAATGGATCGGTCAATCGATCACTCAGTAATTATTACTCATAATGTGAATCTAAAGCAATTCGCGAAAATATAGTGAATAATTATCTCTTATATTCGTATACAGTGCTCTCTTATCATGAACAAATGAGTTATACTATATTATTCAACGAGCGCATAATGATGGCTATTATCCACGAAGATGAAAGTTGTAGTAAGAGCCGAAGGCAAGTGCTGTGATCATAAAGATTTGTTATCATTGATAGATACATTTCAGAGTCATAATTATATATAATATGAATATGATATTCCACGAGACTGAAGGGACCTACTCAATTTCAAGGGTTCACAAAAGTCTTCCAAGGATTCACTTTTGAAAACAAATAAAGACTAGTCCAATCGAGAGCTCAACTTTATTAGGCCTACTGTCAAAGAGAATACATAACCTCAAACTATGGCCTCCAAGAGATATTATTCAAGCCATGGAAAGTCTTCTTCAGACTTCCACCATCAGCCCATTCCGAATTCAAATAATTATCGTCTTCATCATGCTCCAGCTTCTTCAACTCTTCTTGTCTCCTGTAAGCGTACATCATCATCTCTTTCCTCTGGTCTTCGCTCATGATTGGCTCTCTTCCAGGGGCACCTTCTCCTCTTTTCGAAATCTTCATGATCACCTTGCAGTTCTCTATCTTACCGACGTAGTCACCAACCGTCTTACCTCCATCCCTATATAAAGAGCACATTCCATGTAGTAGATGACCAGAGACGTTTCTGGGTCACGTTCAAGGTCAAGGTGAGAGGGCGTGGCTCCCATATGTCACTCTGACCTTGGTGGAAACCCAAAAGCGGACTAGCAACTGTTATTATGGGGTATTCACCTGTACATTTCTTTTCCACAAAACCAGAGCTGGGCTGTAGTGGGGTCGATGATGTCGAGAGATGCTTGAGTACCTGAAAGATCCTCGATATTTTCGAATTCCATACGGATAGTGTCGTGCGGTGGTAGCTTCATAGGGTAGACTATGGTTACTGCTCCTTTGAGGATGTTGATAGCTTCTTGGACGGTTTTCATTGTCAAACATTTTTCTGAAAAAATAAAAATACACTGACCGGCGAAAAAAGAACCGGCCTGCTGGAAGTTCAGCAAAATTGATTGCCCTCTAGCTTTATTGATTCTTGTCAGATGAATTTTGACCAAATCGTGAACTCATGTTTGATTTAATCATTCATTAATTTATTCATTCGAGACTTACATACATTACGTTACATTTTTCTTCACTAATACATTTTATACAAATGATATATAAAGTATTATTAATTTTCTTGTAGGAATGACATGAATGATCAGACAGTAATTCCTGGTATGAGATCATTTATGAATAAGTATTATCGTTTGTTGGTATAATTGAAATTACAAATAGTGAACAAAACTTACATATCATCGAGATATTTCAAAATAACAGTACTATAATAATATATGACTGTATCTTAATGATATGTAAGTTTTGTTCACTATTTGTTTTTCAATTATACAACAGTCGATAATACTTCATGAATGATCTTATACGAGGAATTACTGTCTGATCATTCATGTCATTCCTACTAAAAAATTAATTATACTTTATATATTATTTGTATGAAATGTATCGATGAAGAAGAGAATGTAATGCAATAACTGAAATAAATAAAATAAAACATGTTTTGAATTGAAGTGTAATCCCTTCATAACACAATAGTTTCTGATTCACGCCTATATATATATAAGGTCCCGTGGTGATATTATTATTATATATAATATATATAGTATATAGTTTTGTGAAACTGGAATATGGACCTATTACCACTAAGAAAGCATTTCTCTTCAATTCTGATTGAAATCTGGTGCCTAGCCATGACCATAACAGCATATGAAAAATCTCTATCGATAAATACCTACTAGAATCTAGTGCCACTACTGCAAATCTCGCATAAAAACAGTGAATTCTGGTTAATTATATCAGAGGTGGCTTATCTTCATTGACTAGTGGTTCAAAAAATGACGAAAACTACCATTACACACTTGACGCCTTGAATAATGGTAGGCTCTTGAGCTAGAGGTGTGAAATAGTAGATTGTTTTATTAGGATTCAAAGTGACATCATTATTCGACAAGCGAATTTTGCATTTGCTAGGCGGAGTGTCCAGCGAAGCCGAGCGAAAGCAAAATTTGCGAGTCAAGCAAAGTCATTTTTGATCCAAATGAAACATGCTATTTTTTCTGCAACTGAACGAATATACTGAAATCAATATGCGAAGTAACCACCAATGTGACTTACTTGACAGATTATCATAATACCTTTATTATGATATTATAGGTAAGTAGATAGAAGCAAGACCTCAGACTACTTCACATTAAATTATTGGTGGACAATGACTTCACTTTGTTAAAATTTGTAATGACATGCATCATCAGATACTACAGGCAGAGATTTAATACTATGCCCGAAACGTGGATGCCGTGTCATATGTATGCAATGCAACTAATAATTCGTGTGGTGGGAATATTCTACCTGCATTTACAGATCAGATTCAATATTAAAGGGTGTTCGAATTGTAGTTTCAATATAAATTCAACCACAGAGTGACCCATTTGTGTATTCAATTAAATAGATGGATCGATGAATCCAGGTGTCTGCCCTAATAGCAAATACCGCGCCAGGGCCAGGTATAGAGATATTAAAGGAGTGGAAAATGTTAGATTAGTGAGCATATGGTGTTTGGCTCGGTAATAAAATAAATGTGTACAATATTGATGTGTGTAACAAAAAAGTATTACTGGCCGTGATTATTCGAAAACAAGTTATCCAATCAATCTTATCCCGAGAACAACAAATGAAATACAGATCAAGCAAGTATGTGAATCTTGAAAGCTTTCCTGATCAAAACAAAAATACTATGAATTGCCAAATCTGTCGAAATTGGGAACAAATCAGGTAGGCGTCCCAACCCAAATGAAAATGTTGTTTATCCTTGATGATCTAGTACGTCCTCTTCAGTTCCTAGGATCTGAAGTTCAACTCAAGCTCCTAGGAACTGGAAATGTTGCATAGCAACATACCAATGATTATGTCAGTAATAGGAACGTCAATTCAAGAGCTAATTTTGTTATTAAAATGGACGATTTTTATACTTTTGTGTCGGCAGGAAAAAACCTATAAGAATTGACATCACCTAGTTTCCACCTCAGGGTGGTGTGAGGTGGTGTTTTTTTTTTTCACTGGGTATGATAGTTTGAAGCTATTTTTGAGAATTGAAATTCAGGTTGAAATGTTACCAGAATCGGACAAAAATTCAAAAAGATACAAGGTGATTAATTTGACAAAATGTTTTGATGGCCGCGGTTTTCTTTTGCCGGTGAGAGTATATCTAAGAAATGATGGAATGAATGAAGCAACACTTATCATACCTTGAAGAACGAGTTTCTTGGACACCATCTCTTTGGCATCTTGAACAGCTTTCCTCAATACCTCCTGCAATGAGTTTTTGGGTCTCTTGCCATTCCTTCTTCCAATGGGGTCTTTTTCGAAAACGAACCCCCCACTAGGGATGCACTTTTCTCCCCATGGATCGGTCAACTTCATTTCCTCTACTTGTTCTTCTGTGAGACCTATGTGTTATAGTCAGAAAAAAATGCATTTAGCAAAGTTAGAAATATTTGTTGTATCAAGCAGGGCATGCAGCCGAACTACTGAAGGTATACTTACCTAAAATTTCAGGTGGAAATAAAGTTCCATGACTAGCCAGTTCTTCAATTTCAGAAGAAACGCGGTTGATTTTCAGTCTGCCGTTGTAAACTGCAACTATTGAGGTCGCCAAGTTTTCCACAGATGTTTTCAAAGTAGTTTCGAAAAGAAACTGGCTTTCATCTTTGTGTTTAATGTGAACGATAACCATTTTTCACGAAAATGTGTCTGGCACTGACAACTATTCATTCAAATTTGCTAGTTCAATAAGACAGCGTTACCATGGTAACCATGGTTACGTTATTTCTCGTATACTGGTTGTATCTCGAACATTCCTGATGATTGAATATATCAATTCATACATCCACAAAAAAAAAATTCCTGATGAAAATTTCATACCATTTTCATCCAATCAGATGCGCTTTATTTCGACATTGTTACTTAGTAACCAGCAAATTTTTTTTAGGAATTTTCCATCCACAAGCATGCCTTTTCTCTAGAAAAGCCGATCTCACTGTGCACAACATAAGCTTGTCAGGAGTAACCATACATCTGAAGACATCCATTTCGATACTTGGTATTACTATTTTAGCAGAAACCTTTCTTGGGAAAAGCACGTGAGATCGATTGCTAGAAGTGCATCCCAAAAACTTGGTTTTCTGTTTCAGGCCAGGAGCTATTTCACTTCCAGTCATCTGCTTATGGTCTATAGGGCACAGATCCGACCTGTCCTGGAATACTGTTCCCATATTTGAAGTGCAGCGCCCAAACATACCCTAAAACTGTTGGATTCTGTCTAAAAAAGGGCAATTCGTCTCGTGGGTGATGCCTCGCTCACAAACTCACTCACTTCTCTGGAACACCAGAGAAAAGTTGGCGATCTGGCTCTATTTCATAGATATTTTCATGGAAGATGCTCTTCTGAAATATCAACAATTGTTCCTCCCTTGGCAGTCCCCGCGAGATTCACCCGTCAAGTTGAGGCTTCGCACCCCTTCGTGGTCACTTTGGAGACCTGCAGAACATCTCTTTCCAAAGACTCGTTCATCCAATGAACAGCGAGTCTCTGGAAACACATTGCCAAGGGAGGTGTTCCCCGTGGCATATTCCCTCCAGGAATTCAAGAAGAACACCAATTCCTACATTATTTCCCTTGGTTCTCACGATGTTCTCTGAACATCACAGGATATCCGTTTTCGTGGGAACCAGAACAAAAAAAAAACATGAGCATGTAGACGTAAAATTAATAACATTTCTTGGCACGAGACAGCTATCATATTATAAGACAAAATGAAATGTATTCGACAATATTTATTTTCCGGAAACCTAGTAAGAAAATCTCAGTTTCATTTGAAACTATGTAGACATGTAATATCAGATGTTATGATTGAGAACGAATTAATGTTTTCAATGTTTCTGCAATTTTCGTAACAAAACTCAGTTACTAACAAGTAGAATCAACTCCTATTGTAAGAATATAGAGTGTCATATTCGACCAAACCCATCGGAAATATGTTTTATTAAGTTAAGAAACTATGCAGTATCAGATCTTATGGTTGAGAAATAACTAATGCTTAAGTCTTCCTGAAATTCCAGTAATAAATTTAATATAGAAATATACTGCGCCATATTTGACTAAACTCATCGGAAATGTTTTTTTTTTCTAATTTGATTTGAAATTATGTTGACATTGTAATATCAGATGAAAATGAATTGATGTTTCTAATGTTCCTGAAATTTTAGTAATATACCTCAGTTACTAACAAGTAAAATCAACTTCTGTAGTAAAAAATCAGTGCGTCATATTCAACTAAAGTCATCGGAAATATGTTTTTTCAAGTTTTATTCGAATTTAAATCTATGAAAACATTGGATTTCAGATAAAAAAAAAATAAATTAAACTAAACTCCTTTGGACAGACAAATCACAAATCAGAACAGTCATAAATGTCTATATCTACCTTACAAATTATTATACTTGGGGAGGGGGTAATTTTTTTAACGCTTGGAGCGCACGAAAGGAAACCCCTATAATGTTCAAAGAACATCGTGCGTTCCTAGGTAGGATAGGAACAGGAGGTCCGTATTGGAATTTTTTTGAACTTCTGGATATTATATGTTGTTGGGAATACTTCCTCAGGCAATGAATTCCAGAACCTAGCCGTTCTATGAATGGAGGAGTTTTAATAAAGTGCTGTTCGACATCTTACGAGGTTGACAACGAAAGGATGTGCTGACTGGGCTTGTCTAGTTCGTCTGACTGGTATTGCTAGTGAAGGGATGATAGCAGAGATTTCCGAAGAACATTTCCCGTGGAAGTATCGGTAGAGAAGTGAAAGGTCGCCGACCTTTCTACGGTGTTCCAATGATGTCAAAGGGTGAGTGAGTGTGGCGTCACCCACCAGGCGAATGGCTCTTCTCTGGATGGAATTTAAGAGCATCAGCGTATGTTTTGGTGCTGAACCCGATATGTGGGAACAGTATTCTAGAACAGGCGATTTGTAGATCATGAGAAGCTGTTGAGGTGTGAAGTAGCTTTTTGCACGGAACAAGAATCCGAGTTTTCGGTGTGATCTGAGGAATATTTGGTATATCGATTGAACAAGTCAAACACCCTGTATACTGACCTTCGTTGGAAATTGCTAGTTACATCTTCACATAAATGATAGGCTGATGTTTCGAGATAATAAGCCTGTGACAAAAAGTTCTAATTAGACTATTAAAGCCAGGCAATTATGTGGATAAGTTGAATTTCATTAATCATAGTGGTTTCCTGAATACCCAATTTGGTATTTGAATCAACAAAAGTGTATTGATCCGAAGGGTAAATTACTTGATGTCGAAAATATAGAAAAATAATGAATTGTTTAATTGCGGGAAATTAGCATTCAATTGAAGTGATGCACCATCATACATTGTTACTCACTTGAGGCCGAAACTCTCTTGAAAAATTAACAGTTTTCAATATTTTTTCATTCTTATTTCAGTATAAAGAATATCGAAACGTCTTGGCATGTACAAATGTGCAAAATATATATAATCCCAATTTTCAGGGCATCCTATGTTTTCATTAACATGTTGAAAATGACGAAATATCATCAACCATGTGTTTCTGAAAGATTCGACAAGGAAAAGAATTGAAAACACACAATATGTACAGTGTTTATTGAAAGAAAATAAAGAAGGAGCAGTTTCGTGTCCCAAACCTTAGAAATAATAACAATGTATCTTATTTTTTCACAAAAAGTTGATGATATCTTCATTTTCCCATTTTGTTCAGTAATATCATACAAACTTTATCGCATTCTTCCTCTCTTTCTCATTACATTCTGTATTCAGGATTGTTTCACCTTATTAACTCTTGATTTTCGTAACCGGATTTTATACGGAACAATTTAATCTGGTTTCCTCAAGATTGAAGTAAATTCACGTTTCTATCCGAGGGAAGATGAGAAAAAGAAAACTCTTGCTATGAGAAATTGAAACATCGTTAGGAAAACGAAAATATCTCTGGAAAAATTACCACTAAGTGAGTTTCCATTCATTATAAGGCTAAATACATTGATATCAAACTGTTGAACAATAAATATAGATATATACAGGGTGTCCCGAAATTACATAGAAGATTTTAACATAAGCTTCTCAGAAGTAAACATACCTTCGAAGACATCCATTTCGATGCTTGATATTACTATAACTTTATTGGGAAAATCACGTGAGATCAATTGCTAAAAGTGTATCCCAAAAACTTGGTTTTCTGTTTCGGGCCAGGAGCTATTTCACTTCCAGTCAGTTGCTTATGATCTATAAGGCACAGATCCGACATGTCCTGGAATAATGTTTCCATATTTGGAGTGCAGCACCCAAACATACCCTGAAACTATTGGATTCTGTCCAAAAAAGGGCAATTCGTCTCGTGGGTGATGCCTCGCTCACAAACTCACTCACTTCTCTGGACCACCGTAGAAAAGTTAGCGATCTGGCTCTATTTTAGAGATATTTTCATGGACGATGCTCTTCTGAAATATCAACAATTGTTCCTCCCTTGGCAGTCCCCGCGAGATTAACCCGTCGAGTTGAGGCTTCGCACCCCTTCGTGGTCACTTTGGAGACCTGCAGAACATCTCTTTCCAAAGACCCGTTCATCCAACGAACAGCGAGGTTCTGGAAACACATTGCCAAGGGAGGTGTTTCCCGAGGCATATAACCTCCAGAAATTCAAGAAGGACCCCAATTCCTACCTCATTATACACTTGGTTCTCACGATGTTCTCTGAACATTACAGGATATCCCTTTTCGTGGGAACCAGAACATAAAAAAAATTATTCTAGTGTAAAGAACTTGACAGGAGATTCAAAAGGATGTATCATAAGACTTCCCCTTCCCCTTCCCCCCTTCCCATATAATTTGTTTTTCTCAATTTTACTCCAAAGTATAGTATTCATGCATCAATTTCATTATCCCAAGTTCCAATTTCTTGATTTGACCGTTGAGAAAATAAACAGAGGTGGATGACATGAATGAGAAACACTGTATATAAATGATTAATCCGAATTGTAAATTGAGATTATATACGACTGATAAATTATATTTTTCAATATTTATCAACAAACAAAACAATAGTTCTATTAATAAACTTGATTTTATAATCAACTACCTCACCTTGCCCATTCAATTTATGAGTATTATAAAAAGATACAGGGTGGTCCAAATGATTCCGATAAAAAAGAGCGAACTATGTTTTTATGATAACTGAATAATAGAAAATAATAATCGAAATAAGAACAACGAGATTCCTATCAAGGTGTAAATAGTTGTCTTAATGCTTGTCACAACGGAGTTTTGGGTTGTAATTTTATGTGATACCTACTGAATACTACGCTCAAGGAAGATTTCCTAATGCATATAATATAGAGAAAGTATGAACAAACAAAAAATTATTTTTGTCACAAAATTAGTTCTACGAATACCAGTGTGGAAATAATAATCGATAACAGTTATTTATTTGTATATCTGGGCAAATATATGATATCTCATGAACCTATTCAATTTACAATCATTTCTATCATATACAGATAAAGAATATAATACATATATTGGCAATCATTGCTGGAACGATATAACCTACTTTTTTTCATTATGTGTAAATAGGTAGCGATTGAATCAAATGGAATGATCCTCTTCCAACGTTGACGCGTGTATTTTCGAGAGTATCTGTGTATCTGTATCCAAAGATATCGCTTCATTTCCATGATAAGACTTCTCTCAACCGATTTAAATTCATCTAAAATTTTCAGTTTTATTGGGGGCTATGTTGACTAAAGGTATTATCACCGTTCGGCTAAGTACTAAGGATTATTTCTACAAATTTACTTTTGTTTTATCTCGGCTATAACGAAAATGCGGTGTGCTTTCGGAGTGTGATACTTCTGACAGTTCAGTGTCCACGGATTATCCTCTTTTATGTTTTCCTAACGAGCTAACGAGGTAAAATAAAAAAACGAATTTTAAGAATTGTTTCAAAAACTACGAAAGGCGGTAAAACTCTATTCAAATCAATAGTCAACTTTTCATTTCAATCACGTAAGATCAATTGCTAAAAGTGCATCTCAAAAACTTGGTTTTCTGTTTCGAGCCAGGAGCTATTTCACTTCCAGTCAGCTGCTTATGATCTATAAGGCACAGATCCGACCTGTCCTGGAATACTGTTCCCATATTCGAAGTGCAGCACCCAAACATACCCTGAAACTGTTAGATTCTGTCCAAAAAAGGGCGATTCGTCACGTGGCTGATGCCTCGTTCACAAACTCACTCACTTCTCTGGAACACCGTAGAAAAGTTGGCGATCTGTCTCTATTTTATAGATATTTGCATAGACGATGCTTTTCTGAAATATCAACAATTGTTCCTCCCTTGGCAGTCCCCGCGAGGTTAACCCGTCGAGTTGAGGCTTCGCACCCCTTCATGGTCACTTTGGAGACCTGCAGACCATCTCTTTCCAAAGACTCGTTCATCCAACGAACAGCGAGGCTCTGGAACACATTGCCAATGGAGGTGTTCTACGAGGCCTATAACTTCCAGAAATCCAAGAAGAACACCAATTCCTACCTTATTTCCCTTGGTTCTCACGATGTTCTATGAACATTACAGGATATCCCTTTTCGTGGGAACCAGAACCTCTCATACTTTCAGTTACCCCTAAACTATTATGCCTATTATTCGAATATATATTACCTCTCGCAAACTACTGAGCCAAGCAAACCACTTATAAATCGATATGGATGGACTGACCATCTATTTTATCTTGACAGGGGTGAACTAACCATCTATTTATCGTGAAAATATGTCTATGCATTGTCCTAAACTGTTGAATTCCAGAGCTCATTAGCTGACACACTCTGTATAGAAAACATATTTCCGAATTTCCTTTGATCTGCTTTATCTCTCTGAAAGATCATCAATGTCTGATAATAACTCTTGATAATATTCCATTCTAAGATGAATCATACGATGACAGTGACGCACCAAAGGGGGGCTATGGGGCTTGAGCCCCCTCCCAAAACAATATCGAAAAAATTGTTGCTCCCTTGGAAGTCCTCGCGAGATTAACCTGTCGAGTTGAGGCTTCGCACCCCTTCGTGGTCACTTTGGAGACCTGCAGAACATCTCTTTCCAAAGACTCGTTCATCCAACGAACAGCGAGGCTCTGGAACACATTGCCAAGGGAGGTGTTCCCGAGGCATATATAACCTCGAGAAATTCAAGAAGAACACCAATTCCTACCTAATTTCCCCCTATAACCTCATAGGTTTTGACGGTTTCATCTCTGGACAACCTGTAGACATACCCTTGTCGCGGTACACTGTGTATAGTTACTCGAAACTACCCCAGGCGATCATCAATCAAGTAACTCAATTAGTTCTCCTCTGAGGTTTATCCAGGAAAAATATATATGTTGCATAACTAGGTCATGACGATAATCATTTCATGGTATTAGGGACCATCACTCGAAGTGCTAATCCAATTCCTTCAAGTAGTCTGGGGCATTTCATTACATTAATTAACAAATATTGACCTCATGTCAAAATATTCTTCGAATATAGCAATCAGGTTTCCTTTTTTCCATTCCTGGTCTTCCTGATTATCACAAAAGTATGAAGTATACGTATGTAACTTTATGAATAATTTATGTCTATATAATACGTTCCATTAGTAAATATTTTGATCATCATACAGCAGCGCATACAAAAAAAAAATATTTTTTCTGAAATAATTTTTTTAGAAATCGAGCTGAAATCAACTTTTTTTCCGTTCATTATAAATAAAACTATTACCTACGGCCACTTTAGAAAGTAGGCAAGAACACATAAGATACAGCCTCAGTAAGTAGTATATTATTTTCCACTTGAAATCTTTCCTGGAAAGTAGTTGTTTTCTGTTGAATAAATAGAGAAAGAATTGATATTTTCATCACATAGAGAATGCGAATTCTCAATTTATTTCTTTATATATATTTATACAGGGTGGGCCACCAGTAACGCCTCGGTCTCTAGAAGGCTAACCACTTATCTTCTTGGAATTCTTCCTCTCTAGAGAGTTGCATGTCAACATAGGCTACCATTTGAAATTATTTTGAAACATACAGGATGTCCCCAAAAATCACAAAACACTGAAGTTGAACTTTTTTCAATCGAACACCCTATATATTATTTCATTTTGAGATTCTCCCTGGTGAGCTGATTTCAACGACCCATTATACTTGGGGTCTAGCAGTTATAATTACTGAGATATAGGGTGTGAAAAATCGAGATTTTTCAAGTTCAAGAATTTTTTGTGTCGAAACTATTCATGATTGGTCAAAACGGCTTACATGTATCTATCTCAACTCTTGATTAACTATCTACTAATACTTTCTTGAAAAGTAGTTGTTTTCTGTTGAATAAATAGAGAAAGATATTGATATTTTCATCACATAGAGAATGCGAATTCTCAATGTTTTTCTTTATATCCATTTTTATATGTACATAATTATTATATCTGAAAATATTCCTTTTCAAAACTGTTTCCTCAAGAAATCCAGTTATAGGAACTATATTTTTTTTTTCGATATATTTTTGGGAGGGGGCTGAAGCCCCATAGCCCCCCTTTGGTGCGTCACTGTTATCGTATGTTCCATCTAAGAATGAAATATTATCAAGAGTTATTATCAGACATTGATAATCTTTCAGAGAGATAAAGCAGATCAAAGGAAATTCGGAAATATGTTTTCTATACAGAGTGTGTCAGCTAATGAGCTCTGGAATTCAACAATTTAGAACAATGCATATAGACATATTGTCACGATGAATAGATGGTTAGTCCATCGATCCATTTCGATTTATAAGTGGTTTGCTTGGCTCAGTACCTATAGTTTGCGATAGGTAATATATTCGAATAGGAATAATAGTTTAGGGGTAGCTGTAATGTTCAGAGAACATCGTGAGAACCAAGGAAAATATGGTAGGAATTGGTGTTTTTTTTTGATTTCTGGAGGTTATAGGCCTCGTGGAACACCTCCATTGGCAATGTGTTCCAGAGCCTCGCTGTTCGTTGGATGAACGAGTCTTTGGAAAGAGATGTTCTGCAGGTCTCTAAAGTGACCACGAAGGGGTGCGAAGCCTCAACTCGACGGGGAACAATAGCTTTCCTCTGAAATAGTAATTTTCCTAACAAGTGCGGATAGTGATTCTTTCCCGCACGCGACTGCCGTTGACACGAACGAGGCGAAGCGGAGTTCGGGCAAGTAGTCCAGTGCGGAAAAGACAATTTCCGCATGGGTTAGGAACAATATTTTTTCTACAAGCGGAGGAAATTGATTGATTTGTTTAATCAATTATTCATTCATATAGGAACAACTAACAAGAGAGAGGAATATATTCTCTATCTACTGCTTATCAGTAATAGCTATTGTGAACTTACAGTTTGACGCATTATGTATGTTCATTGCGAAAGCCAGCATGCCCATAAGGTGTTTGGTCTCTAGGTTTCAGACACTTCCAGGAAATGAGCCAAAAATACTTCTTCTTTATTCATTTATTCAAACTCTCATATTCCATCACCTACTACTTATATTCTGCCATATTATCATATCTTTGTTTTTCTCGCAATGTTGCGGAAAAATGACACTTCCCAAACTAAATTGCGTTCGGGTATAGGGTGAATCACGCACGCTTGTAGAAAAACAAATTTTCTGATGATGGAATTTCGTTGTTCTCCAGATTAAATTCGTTAAATTTCAACAACAATAAAATTAAGGACCTATTTATGTAGGTTTCAAGTTCACGTTTTCACAGATTCCTCTTCTTATTCTAGCCTAACTATGCCAAATCGCCATGTCCAAGAAGTGATTGAGAATCAGGATAAGCAAGTCTGGATAGCAGAGCAGAAATGCATGAAACTGTATGGATCTGTCATCAAGAACAATCATCTGGAACCACTGTATAATAGTACCGCAAAAAGTAAGTGTCACTGACATCGCCGACAAAATAGACTATCGCATTATACACATAAAGTATAGTTCCTTAGTTCTGAACCAGCAAAAGTTTAAACTTCATTTTCTACAATCAACAGAGAAAATTCAATAATGTTCCACTTTCTGCACTTGAAATCCAATCAGCCCTGTTCAGCTAGTTGTTTGAACTTTTCTTTATCGGAAGTTTCTCGTAAACACAAATGTTGCTAGTAGATATCATTCATGTGATTATATTTTGTTGTTGAATTTATATTTTACAATAAAGATTACATTATTATCAGTTAATCAAATGATGGAGATAAATTATGAGAAAAAAAAAAATCACACCCAAGAGATATGGTAAAAAGTAGTTGACATCCAATTTATTCCTGAAACTATTTTTTTTTTTTAGGTATTATGTGTCCCCCTTTCTTCGACAAAATTTTGTGTTGGCCTCCAACTTTTCCGGGAGAATTATCTTCTAGTCCATGTCCTCCATATATAACAGGATTCAAACCCGTAAGTTTCTGATTCAAAAAATGAATATACCGGAAGTTTCATAAATATGCCTGTACCAGTAGACAACCTATCACAATCAAACAAACAAAAATAGAATTCCAAAAAAAAAAATACATATGTCATTCTCAATGAGAAAATAACCTACCTCAAATGAAAGGTTCGGTACATGGAAAACTGGAACCAGAACGAATTTTCAAAAACATCCTCAGGAGAAGTTTAGAACTGAATATCCTATTCTATAATGTTTACCCATAACCGTGAATGTGGTCCTTCGAGCCGGATCAAATTATCAATTAAAATGAATTGAATACTTTTATTTCCGATAGAATTACAATATATTCACAGAACTCTTCATGAAACTTATTTCAGATAGGAACATCAGATTGTTAATTATGATTATCCTGGATATCACAACATGAATACAGAGTATCTTTATTATTTATCAGTATCAAATTTCCTATTACTATTTTTGAATGGACACACTTGGGAAATGAAGAATTTGCGAAATGGGTTGTAACGATTGGGATTAAACATATACAGGGTGAGTCAACAGTGTATTCTCCTTCGATATTAGCCAAAAATCGAAATACACAGCTATAACGTTTCGATGATGGGTTTTCTGAAAATTTGACATCCTATATTATATTATTTCATTTTTAGATTCCCCCTGAAGAGCTGATTTCATCAATGCATCCCACTTGGTGTCTAGTAGCATTGATTACAGAGATATAGGGTGTTCTGATTTACTATCTAATGACATTTAATTGGAACAAATACAGGGTGGTTCAAATTCAGAATCCTAATCCGAAAGTTGAGATAGGAACATGGAAGCCGTTTTGACCAATAATGTCAGATATATAGGAAGAATTCAAATACAACAGTTATAGGGTTTCCGGAGAACTATCACCTAAAATAATTTTCATGTCTATATATAGGGCGTTCGAATTCTAAGATATCGTTTGGATTGGCCATTAGTCAATATCGAAGGAAAACACACTATTGACTCACGCAACACAAACAAGATATTTAGTTTTAATCTTCTCCTGACGATGCTAACATAGTCAGCGAAACACGTGTAATGTGTAAAACGTCTAGCTTATTCATGATTGTCTTTTTTTTAGGGTTTTAATGCCACAAGGTCATGTACTGCAAACGGAACTTGGTATGTGAATGAGACCACTGGCGAGCCTTGGGCAGATTACAAGGCCTGTTACGAAGGCCCTTTAACCACAATTTTCACGAATAATTCGCAGATGAATGACAATGCGAAAATCTACGAAAACCTGGTACCTATTGTCAAAGTTCTGTCGCAGACTGGTTATGCCGTATCACTCATATCTCTTATAGTAGCATTTCTGATCATGTTACTCATCAAGTAAGTGGAAATGCTTGAGAAAGTATCGAAAAAAGTACCTTTATGCACGACCGAGCGTAAAGTAGCACTTTACCGCACGGTTTTGCGAGCGTGAAGTGGCACTTCAGCGCACGCCGACTACTTTATCGCCCTGCGTATAGATAACTCGTGAAGAGCATTCATGTATAATTCGTGACATCACGAAGTTCTCTTGGTATGATATAAATTGACAACAAAAAGTACCTAGTCTATTGCTCCTATATTTTCAAAAAATTACCATGGTACCGTTTATTATATCAATGATATTCCTCACTGCAACCATGATATACCGGGTGTCAACGAATCTATTAGACAAATCATAACTTCTAGACCATTAGGTCTATCAAAATGAGATTTACGCCCTTAGTACATAAAGAACTATATTCTTCTTCAATTTAATCAGAAATAATATCGACAATATCAGCAATCTTTATTTTTAATTTGATTTTCAGAAAACTCCACTGTGCAAGAAATATCCTACACATGAATCTTTTTGCTTCTTTCATCATGAGGGCATTTTTTTATATACTGAAGGACATACTCTTCTTCGCTGGAATAGGATTGAGAAGTGATCTCAGAGAAAAAGATGGACATTTGTATTTCAAAACTGACATAGAGGTGAGATCCATTGTTTTTCTGATCACACTAATGACAAATATCAATAAAGTTCATGTATAGAAATAGAATAGATTTTCATGAGATATTTATTGAATTTCACAGACGAATAATTATGAATGCAAAATGTTGACGACTCTGGTACAATACTTCACAACGGCAAATTATTCTTGGATTTTGATGGAAGGTTTATACTTGAACAATCTCATATTCAGAGCACTGTTTGCAGACTCCAGCAGAAATCTAATTTACTACATTTGCTTAGGATGGGGTGAGTTGACACACATTTTTTATTCCCTTTAGAAATCTATTTGTGAAGTAAAAAATTTTTCACGCAATCATGATATTTTTCGATGAAATTGCAATTGTTTGCATAATAAATAGAAATGTCATGAATATATTCTACTGAGTTAATTCAAGTAGCTATAGTTTGATCAAAAAGAGCAACAGTCCAATGGTTTACATACTATTTTATGCACTAAAAATCTAAAAATAAAATAATCAAGGAGAAGATGAAAGACTACTCGTATTTAGTCCTTAAAATGAAGGAATGAAATTACTCTCTCATTTCCTGAAGTGCATGAAATATATTCATTATTACTATCGACAATAAGGCATCGGAATACATTATTGAAACGAGAGGACCCAAAACAGTTCCTTGAAGAACACCAAAAATCAATCACAATGTGTCATTCGAAAATTTGATTATTTTTGATTAATCCTTTTTGTCACAACTTCGAGGTGAAAAAGCTTCATCAACTTCTTAGAAAATCACGAATTCGCTTCCATTTTTCATGTTTATGTTTTTTTCAAGGTTTGCCTCTGCTGATTATCATACCATGGGTGGTTGCAAGACTATCGCTCGATGACAGTATGTGCTGGACAATGAATGACAATCTCATACCATTTCTCATCATTGGTATACCGACTGTTATATCAGTACTGGTAAGAACATTTCCAGCATTAGTCTAGTTAAAAAGACGGTAATTATACATAGCTATGATTTTATTGCTCTATACAGGTTGTTCAGGGATAAAACCGAGAAAACTTATGAGGTTATAGGGACTGCCAATATGATTGCAAAATGCCATATACCGGGTGGCTACGGAAGTATTGCCTACGGAATATCTCAGTTATTGTATGAAGTAGGTTTGTGAAATTTGAAGCGTCGATATAATGACATAAGAGCTGAAATTGAGCATATTGACATGTCGAAGTCAACTTCCGGTCTGACCGGAAGTAACATCAACTTTCCTATTTTTAATGGAAACCCTATTTTTTTTTCTCTTCGCTTTATTCAGCATTCAATTCCCTTTCTAATGACATATCACAAGTTGGTATCTAACCAGAAACTAGATCAGAAAAAAAATATTATTGAAATTCACCGAGTAGGCCGTGGAAGCAAAATGAAAGCCAAAAATTGAAAAGTTGGCTATGGAAACCATACGTCACTTGATAACAGTTGCTACTACTGTGATATTTTATTTTCATTCGTCGGCGTTATAAAAAGCCGTCAAAAAAAATATTGGAAAAATTGGGAAAACAACAATACTCTGTAGGTCCATAACTTAAATAGGAACATACAACTTGTTCTTGCCTGTACTATTCAGCATAACCATTTCTTCTTAATGATATAAAAGAAAGTCATTTTTTGAAATGAAATACCAAAAAATCCAATTATTATTCTTCAAATAACAAAAAAACAGATTTATCGGTGAATTTCAATAATAATTTTTTTCTGATCTAGTTTCTGGTTAGATACCAACTTGTGATATGTCATTAGAAAGGGAATTGAATGCTGAATAGAGCGAAAAGAAAAAAAAATAGGGTTTCCATTTAAAATAAGGAAGTTGATGTTACTTCCGGTCAGACCGGAAGTTAACTTCGACATGTTAATATGCTCAAATTCTAGCTCTTATGTCATTATATCGACGCTCCAAATTTCACAAACCTACTTCATACAATAACTGAGATAATCCGTAGGCAATACTTCCGTAGCCACCCGGTATATAAATGTCCAAAACCACTTCGTTACTTACATACAGAGTGATTTGTGGATTTTGACTATAACTCAAGCTGCTATATCAATTAAAGGGATTACCCGATCGGGTTCAAATTTGGTAGATGAATTGAACTCAAAGAAAGAAACCAATATCAGGATCGGAATATATTTTTTTCCTATATGTTGAGTTAGTTTTGAAATAACTCAGCCTGTATAATATTTATCAAACATTTAAGGTCATATTGTGAGTCTATGGAGCATATTTCGCCCCTCTCTAAAGATAATATCCGATGGACCAGTGTGAAATACAACATGTGAATTAGAATACTAGATTTAGCATTTCAACATTCATGCCTTAACAGTCTTCTGTCATTACTGACATCAAGTTTCTGATACAGAACCAGATTTTCGAAGTTTAGTAAGTTAGAAACTGGTTAGAAATCAAAATTCCATGTTCTGATATCATTCTATCGATTTATATCCCTAAAATTAAATGCACATTCATTATACAGGGTGGGGCATTAGTGCGTCGGAGCTCGATTGCTCGACATCTATGATAGCTATGAACCTGATTCAAAAACGAATGTGAATGAGACAACGAGGTCCATAACTAGAAATTATTTCCGCTTATAAAGGGCGCACCAAAAATAATCTAGAGGGTCGGGATCATTTTTTTTAATGGAATGCCCTGTATATTTGCATATTTTTTTAAGCATCCCTGTGACCTTCACCCACTCCTATTATATCGTTGACTATATCTCGTTTATATCAAAGTTATGAATTTTTTTGTCGAAATAATTTCATCTGCAGATGCCTACCGAAAATATCACTGTTGTCACAATTATAAGATTTGAGAAAAAATAATCTCAATATCATTTATTGAAAAGATGAGTGACATTTCTGAAAATGTTTCAGGCCCTCAAATGATACCGGAACTTTTCGAAGTGATTTTTCACGAGTTTTTCAAATGGAACACCCTATATATTTTTTGACCATTTGATGTAAAATCGAGATTCCGTTTCACTATATATTCAATAATGAAAAAGTTATTGGGGTGAGCCACTTTCGAAAATCACCTGGGACCTATACCAACCGTTTATACAAATATTGACACAATCGCAGTTTCTTCATCTTATTTTATTTCATTTCAGATCAACTTCGCCCTGTTTATAGTTATATCCATAATATTGTTCACCAAATTGAGGTCCCCTATATGCGAGGATAAGAGACGTTATCAGAAATGGGCCAAATCCACGCTGGTGTTGGTACCACTGTTTGGAGTTCACTACGCCATTTTGTTGGTACTATATTTCGTGGGGCAAACTTCCCTTTGGCTTATATTCGATATACTTTTCGGGAGTTTTCAGGTAAAAAACAAATCAATGAAATCTAAAATAACATTAAAATAACTTTTTTCTGTGACAGGACATTGAATTTCATTCATCTCTGTTAACAAGTTATGAATGTCACTATCCATGAATTACATTCTTCCCATGAGAAAAAAAGGATATATATCACATATATATATACTCTGATTGAACAGTTTCAATCTCCTCCTGGAGATTGTTATCTAAACACGTGTCGACGTGTTGAAAATCGGTTTGGTTAGTGGCAAAACAGTGTGTAGTGGGAAATTTATATGATTGTCATCTGTCTAGATATCGCTTCCATTTTGGTTTAGTGACCTCAATAGGCAGTTCTTTGACCCAAAAAAAATCAATGCTGAATACAGAATTGAGCCATCTTTGCTCTGAAGAAAGTTCGAATTTTCTCATAGAGACCTATCTAATCAATTTCCTTTATTCAAATCTATATGTTTGTCATCTGTCTAGATATCGCTTCCATTTTGGTTTTGTGACCCAAATAGGCAGTTTTTCGACCCAAAAAAGTCAATGGTGGAAACAGAATTGAGCTATCCTAGCTCTGAAAAAAGTTCGAATTTTCTCCTAGAGACCTACTGACCAATTTTCTCAACTGAAAACTATATGTTTGTCATCCGTCTAGATATCGCTTCCATTCCGGTTTTATGACCTAAATAGGCAGTTTTTCGACCCAAAAAAGTCGATGGTGAAAACAGAATTGAGCCATCTTTGCTCTGAAGAAAGTTCGAATTTTCTCATAGAGACCTATCTAATCAATTTCCTTTATTCAAATCTATATGTTTGTCATCTGTCTAGATATCGCTTTCATTTTGGTTCCATGACCTAAATAGGCAGTTTTTCGACCCAAAAAAGTCAATGGTGGGAACAGAATTGAGCTATATCTTTGCTCTGAAAAAAGTTCGAATTTTCTCCTAGAGACCTACTGATCAATTTCCTCAACTGAAAACTATATGTTCGTCATCTGTCTAGATATCGCTTCCATTTCGGTTTTGTGACCTAGATAGGCAGTTTTTCGACCCAAAAAAGTCAATGGTGGAAACAGAATTGAGCTATCTTTGCTCTGAAAAAAGTTTGAATTTTCTCCTAGATACCTACTGATCAATTTTCTCAACTGGAAACTATATGTTTGTCATCATCTGTCTAGATATAGAATTCAATGTTTTGCGTGCCATCAGCCAGGAAAGTAGTCGTTTTTCTACCATTGTTGTCCATTTTATGAACGTTGTGTTGTTTTATCTCCTTAAAATTACTTCGTCCTTTTTCCTGTCACAGGAAAAAATAGTGGGAAAATATCATATTTTAGCTCACGGTTTATTGTCCCCCTCCGCTACTTGTCGGGAGACAACACAACCTTGAGCTAAATTCTACTACTTTTTTCCCTTGTATACTAAATAACAATAACATGAATAACAATGATTCTTACAGTAAAAGCTATTATTTTCAGGGGTTTTTCGTAGCTGTGTTGTATTGTTTCTTGAATGGTGAAGTAAAAACGGAACTAAAACCTCACATCGACAACCTACTAACCTATTTGGCTACCAATAAGATGTTCAGGTTGTGCTTTCCCTTCAGAGAAAAATTCCTGAGGTTCGTAATGAGACAAAAGAAATGCTAGATTCAATGTGTCTATACCGGGTGACACAAGGTATCGGACCACTTCTGCATTTGTGAACGGAATTTTCTGAAGTTCAGTAGATTTATATAAGCATCCATTCCGGATTTGATCACATTTCTATTCAATATGGCAGACTTCCGGTTTTCCTGGATATGCCATCAGCAACCGTTTTTTTTTTTTAAATGGAACACTTTGTATATTTTTCAACAGGTCAAAACGAGTGCTCACATGTAATTTTTTCGAAAATGTTGAAATTCTAATTGTTCTTTTGTTTTACCTCGTGAATAAATGAGATGTGGTCAAAGCTATTCACAATGAGTCCCACATACTAGAGGAACATATTTTTTTCTGTAAAAATTTTTTGTGTCACTTATCGATGAATAATTTCAGTCCCATCACTTTTTTGTGAAAAATCATTTTTCCAAATGAAACCCCTATGGGTACCCTACATACAATAAGGAAAAAAATGACATATCATTTTTGAATTTCGGTGCAGTAAGAGATTGTAATACACTCAAAAATCAACAACTAGTTTCATAAATTTTCTTGCAGTTCGACTAATTTTCCAAGGAAGCTATAAAAACAACATTTCTGAATAGTGTCATATAAGATTGAACTCATTTCGACCTGTTGAATTTGAATATGTGGAAATATACAGGGTGTTCCATATGAAAAAACGAAGTTGCTGGCATTTCCAGAAAAATCGCAACTCCGCCATATTGGATTGTAATGTCATCAAATCCGTAATGGTTGCTTACATATAACTATACCAAATTTCAGAAAAATCCTTTCACGAATGCAGATGAAGTTAAAGGGATGCTCCGATACCTTTATTGTGTCACCCAGTATATATTTGTCTGCCAACAAATGCATTAGACAAACCATGGTTTCGAGAGTTCGGAAGGTATGAGATTTTCAAATAACTATTGAGATTCACGCGATAATTCATAACATAAAAAACCGAGAACAAAACATATAAGATTCTTTATTTCTGATAGACAAGTAAGTTCAAGAATATTTCTGGATTGTCATTTCAATCAGAATATAGAATACATTTTCTCGATTGAATACTTACTGCAGATAACAGAGAACACAACACACAACTAAAGAATCAGATAGTTTGAGGAGGATTATCTTTGAATAATCTTGACTCGTGCCACGAAATAATTTGGGATTAAATAAAATCTCGATCATTATTAGGCCTGCTAGGGTATTTTTATTGGTACTGATGAAGTATCTTGCAAGTATATAGGTGTTCAATAAGTGATTATTAGGGTCCAGGTCGAACTTTTTGCCTTCAGTGAATGTGAATACTAACTATACCATCCAGTGACTCTAGAAAAATATATTGTTTATGATTTCAAAAATTTACTATTTTCAGATCAGCAGTAGGGAGGCAATCAGTGTGCACGACTTTGTCTTGTAGCTCAGTATATGCTAATGGTTTCGGACGGACAAACAAAGGAAAAGAGAGGACAAAATCGACATTGGATACAGGTGAGACGATTTTCCTACGAAATTTTGCTCCCCAATTATACTAGAACCCAAGCATAATTGGAAAATATTATAAGATATATAATGGACAATGGTCTCTATTTTAGATAAAATTCACTACTGTAAAGGAACAAAAAGTGGGAGGAACGGTATTAATGTTAATGGAAAAGGAATGCGCTCTCCAAGTGAGCCCAATGGCCAACAAATGGTACCTATATTGATCTATGCCCAGGTAGCACAGGTTAGTGGAAGGACGTCATAATGACGTCTTTTTTAGGTCATTATTGGTCAATGACGTCCTCGACTTCAGAGGGACCTAAAAATGACGTCATATTTCATGACGTCTCATTGACGTTCAATATTGGACGTCTTAATGACGTCCCTACAAAGTCGTATATTCGACCAAATGAGAAAAATTAGTCGCTTTCTTACTTTTTCATCGTTTGTTAAGTGTACGTACTAAATTTGTGTTTGTATATACAGTGTTTTCGTGAGTAATGATGAACAAATTTATTTTCAGCCAAATTATGCATTTTTGAGGAATCTGCTGAAAACGGCGATTTCCATTTTCAATTGAATATACATACATGGTGATCCATGTCTGACTTATGACCATAACGACAATTTTTTTAAATAGAGCACCTTATATATATATTACTCAATCTTTGGAATAACCATGGGGAGCGGAATCATGTGGATTGTATAGGTAAGTGCGTCCAATAAATAAGATGCTCTCGGGAAGTAGTGGATAAATTCATTATTATCCAATATCTACCTATCTTATATATTTCTGAGAGGATGATACAACGTTCGTATTATGACGTAAACGACACATTTTTCAAACGGATATAAATTATTGAATTTTCGTAATCAAATGTATATCACACAAAGGGTTCGTATACAGGGCGTTCGTTAAATTCAGTTCTCTCGTAAAATTGGTTCGCCATTAAAATATAAAGATGACGTAATTTCTCCTACACGAATCATTCTGTATATATTGATCCAATATGAGATAAAGCTTGAATAAAAATGAAATTCTACGGCTTCGAGCATTATTCTCTGAAAAAAAATATTTTTTTAATTTTCAACAAATTTATTCGCAACTTCGCGAAAGAACTTAATTTAACGAACACACTGTATAGAAACTCATATATTTTTGAATCCAGCTTTCCATAGAGACCTCAAAAATCGAATAATTTATAGGGTGTTCCTTTGAAAAAATGGTCGCGGACGTTGTAGCTCAAACTTGAATCACCCTGTATATTCAATTTGTTCTCAATAATGTTGGTATTTTAAAATAAAAATCGACCTATTTTGGGAGATTCCTCAGAAAGGAATTGTATGGTTATAAGTACATTGATTGGCTACTTTATTTACTTCACGCGAGATGACTCAATTTAACGGACACACTGTATACAAACCCTATGTGAAATATATTTTTGAATTCAGATTTCCATGAATATTTCGAAAATTCAATGTATCTTATATAGGTTATTATTGTTTCCAATTGAAAAAATTGCCGCGGACGTCTTAACTTAAACGTGGATCACCCGGTATATATATGATTCTTACTTTCAAATGCGGCAAATCGGAAATAAAATCGACCTGTTGCAGAGGATTTCTCAGAAATGGATAGTTTAGCTAAAAATAAGTTTATTCAGCTTACATCTCGCCGACGCTCGCTACATAATTTTAGGTACAAATACGATACGCTAACGATATTGTCATATAGAGATTCATAGGTAGTAGCAATAGCGCTAGGATTCAACAGGACTGCCCGGGAGGACCATCAACCAAGTTACCACAACGTATAGTTACAGAATGAATGTCATCAAAGGTTTGTGGTGTATTATCATGTACCAATAATACCATATATATATATATATAAACCTCCTTATTTTTTTTATTTCGTCCTTTATTGGTCATTCTGCGACGTCATTATGACGTCTAAGTATGACGTCATATGGCTGTGACATTTTGACGTCATTATAGGGTCTCTCAGACGTCATTTTTGGACGTCCACTTCGTCATTTTATGACCAAAAAATAACGTCAATTGGACGTCCCTCTGCTACCTGGGTGTATAATTATTCAAATGGTTATTTTATGCACGACCGTGTGTGAAGTTGCACTTTATCGTCCGGATTCCCGGGCATAAAGTAGCACTTTAGGTGGTAAAGGAGAACATCAGCGGGCGGTAAAGTAATTTGGTGATCGAGTGGTAAAATGATTTCACTGTTTTTTCAGTGATTTCTATAGTAGCCTACCATTCGATCTTTCGCATCGCCAGTGGCATAGGTACTTGATTTGGTCAAATGAGATCAAAATCATCAAGAAATTCTGCCCCTCAAAACCCGGTCTTGCAAAAAAATTCATTATATAGTTACATATTTGTACGTGAAATGATATTCTGGTAATTAATCAATCAAATTGTTCACGAAGCAAATTTTTTCTTTCAGGCTGAGACTTCACTCTGTATAGAACGGTCAGAGAAAAATCATCTGAACTCAGCAATTACAGACGAGGAAATCTGCATGTTGACGATGAAATGTTGATGATAACAAGTTCGAAAAGCTGACATTGGATAGATATATAAGTTACACCATTGATGTAAAAACATCAACTCATCTCAACTCAACGTCCAAGACATACACACGATATTGAAAAGTTTGTATTGAATTTTTTTATGAGAAGAATCAGAAAATATGTGGATATTATAATTTTATGCATATGTATATAGTACAGTAGATTTGATTCATAATCCACGTAAGAGGTGATTTCTACAATGAAAAAATGCGACCCTGATGTAGATCTTATTTGATTGTCTTCTTTGCATAAACATTTGATATGAGAAAACTGTAAAATGAATAAATGTGATATTTAAATTCATACACTCTATGTGTGAATATATAGCTATATACTTTTGCCACATGAGCAAATTTCAGTGTAGGAATGTATCATTCAGGTTTAATTATTATAGATAGTTGTAAATACTTTTGTATAAAAAATATAAAAATGTTATGTTCCCTACGTATATATAAGTAGATTTTGATGTTGATTGTTATTGCTATATTGTACCTATTGTATTATTTGAAAGTATTTATAATAAATAATACACTTTTGAACAAAGTTATATATATGGATAAACTTCTCTCAGTGATCCAACGAAAAGTGTTTCCCAACGTGAATAATAAAATATTTCGAGGAAGAAATGCAAGTAACTCAGACTTTTATTTATACCTGATAACAAGGTTGGTCTCTTGGATTCATGATACTAAAAGCAATGAACTCAATACAACTGGAAGGGACCCACTGTGAACGACGAGTGAGGCAAAAATATTTGTCAGGCAACCCGCAGTGTTTACGGATACCTATCTCTCTCTATCTTGTGTTGGTTAATGGGAAGCGCTCGCATAATTTGAAATATTTTCTCGTTTTTTGCTTCTATTTGAAAGTAAACGTGATTAAATAAAAATATTCATTTAGGAAAAAGGATAATGTTGTAATCAACTATCATTAAAAAATTATTACTGATTTTTTTATTGACTTTGAAATGAAATTTCAATCTCACTCTCACAGGATCGGAAGTCAAATGAATACAAAATTGAAATTATATATTTTTATTCAAATGTCACAATATATTGTACAGGGTGAGCGAAGCACAATGTCTCAGAACTATCAGAAGGAAAAGAAAAACGAAAGGAATAATTTGAAAAGAGGTTCTTGAATGGTATTGAGTGCATTTTGAGCATAATTTCCATAGGTTCCTATTCCTTCTTCCTTCTTCTGTCATATTTGAAATTTTTAGGTCTCTCCTTATTACGTTTTGTCTCAGTGTCTTCACTTTCCTCCTCAATACAATATATTTTATTGATAAACCTCGAAACTTGGGAGCTAGAAGTGGTAGGCAAGTCAAAGTCAATAAAATGGGAAACTTCTTCCTTTGGACCTAAGTTATGAGCGTCCATAGATGCATCCTGAAAACAAATTACTAGCTAGTTTTTTATTTTATTTTAATGAGGTGAAAACATACTTTTTTTCATTATTAATCAACTAGGTACCTATGAGTTTTCTTATTTTCCTGGGGGAATCAGCATTTTTTGGTAACAAATGCTGAGGAAATAAAAAATATACTGGGTACAGCATCTGCTTTAAAAAACCTAGCTGTACTTGGTATGCCTAAATAATCTGTTGTCAGGAGATGCTCCCCACAAAGCTTGCTGCTTCTATTTGGAGTCCAATTCTCTCTACGAACTGCCTTTATCCATAATTCGAGAATGTCTGGTCTTTTGAATGGAAAGCTGCAACAAATAATATTACTCAATATCAATATGGAAGTATTTACCTTTGACAAATAATATAGGTATAGTTTTTGAACATATTCTGAGACTGGGAACATTGTATACCTAACTGGATGATCATTTCAAGAACTATATTTTTCAAAAATCTGAGAACAATATTCAACTTACCCATGGAATGCCCATTCCCTTTTATTTTGTTCGTTCTTGCATCCAAAGGCGACACAATAAATCACCATTGTTTATCAATATTAATCACAAACCTTCTCAACAATCAGTTCATCAGTGTTCACAACAACAAATTCAGTCCTTTTGATACAACGAAACACGCCAAATGAATAGATATTTCACCTCGTATTTAGCATAAACGAAGACAATGAACTTATGTCTTCACTTTCTTGCCTGTGTAGATGAGAGAAAAAATTCCTAGCTACTTTAATTATTAGATAAAAGAAAATGTACCTATACACCAATCCACCATTAAACAACACGAGTTGGAAGAGGACAGGTATCCGTAAATCATGCTATCTCTGTTGCAGCTGCCCCTGACACACTTTGTGCTATTCGAGAGAGCGGGCGTATCCCTTCCAGTTGTATTGAGTTCATTGACTAAAAGGTTTAAGGTTTTAGTATCATGTCTTGGATTGGACCCCGGTAGCTATGTCAAACGTGGTCAAACCGTCTCTGGGCAGGAATGTCGAGAGGTGTTGGCTTCATTCTGATAGCTAATGACTGCTGACACGAATTCAATCTGAAATGAAGCACCGTGCCAAATAATCGTTGTGGTGAGGATTGCTCCTCATTCTGTGATTATCCGAAAATAATACGGTGAAGGCATTTACTGTAGACTAGTTTACGCACGGAATATATGTTGCGTCCTGTCTCTAGATGCTCCATTTCAGGTACAATCACTGAACTAGGCATCTTAACTGAACTTTAACCCCACGAAGGTACAATTAGGTAACAGTTTTAGTTTTATATAATTTCCTGAAACAGTGATTCACTATCGGCCACATTCTCTTACCTCCACATGTCAGCAGTGATTAGAAGAGAATGAAGCTGGCTCCCATATTACGGTCCTGGCTCGAGTCTGTGTCGTTAGTGTCAAACTGTCAATACTGTCATAGGTTTGTTTTTTGACAGTGACTTCTTCAATCAAATTCAATTTTCGAATCGAAACGAAATCTTCTAATCTTCATAAACTGAATTCTCTATGATTGTGATTTTGAATTATTTGTGAACATTGTGTTAAGTTCAAAAAGTAAGTATGCGTTTTTTATAAAGAATTTCTATTCTTGAATAATAAAACGTACTCATCAATATTGATGATATTAAAATGTTCAAAAAAATGATTGATTATAGATCCATTCCATCCACCAAACAAACCGTCAGCAATCTGCTGCTATTTGCCAATAAAATTGCCCACAAAAAATTGTGTCTGAATTCAATGAAACCAAAAGAGGATATTTCTTAAATGAAGTAAATGATTTGAAAACAAAACTACCGAGAGTCAAGATCTTTTCAGATCTTCTCTTTCAGGTGCTTCCAGTAAGCAAACATAAGATAACCAGATAAAAACTCCCACCAAACACACAAAAACGAGGATACGTCCAATAATAAATCTATACAGATTTACTAAAGTAAAGGCAATAAAATATTGATTCCTTATATTCAAAATTAATCAATATGGGCATATTCCCACCCATGTCATGTCAGATAGTATTGAAGTACCTCATTCATGAAATAATCAGAATATTGAGTGAAATTTATTGAAGAAAGTTATGTATAAAAGATCTTGGGAACCTATATAGTATTTCCATGAACTATGAATGTTATGATCACAATGAAACTAATCAGTGCTATCTGATATTACTTAGCCAACTGATACCTATGACCCTGTGGAGTCAGCAAACCAGGAATCATAAAAGAAGTGAAAATCCGACTGTGTGAAATGTTTGAGAATTCCAACTTACATTTGGAAGTCTTTGTGAAAGAATCTCTTCAATATCTGAATGAAGAAAACCGCAGGAAAACATTCAAAAAATGGGTGTTCACCAAGAAGGAAGTCTGCAATGCTGATAAAGTAACTATTTCCCATTTTTCTTCTTCACTGAATCACCTAGAATGAATTCTTTTCCAGATGGCTGAGGCTGGCTTCATTTATACAGGAACCAAACAGGAACCTGACTCAGTCAAATGCTTTTTCTGTGCCAAACCCCTAGATGGGTGGGAAGCAACTGATGATCCCTGGAAGGAACATCTAAGTCATGCTCCAAATTGCAGCTTTGCTAAGTTGCAACAACAACAGGACAATATCACCATGGAAACATTTCTGGATCTGAGAGAAGAGCTTCTTTATAGGACAATGGATATTTATATGGATGCACTTCGTGATTATGCAGAGAAAGCTGGGAAGGCTATGTTCAAGGATATTTGCAGAATACTTGATAAATAATAAGTGGTATAATATATGTCCAATTTTTATCCAATTCATTCATATTTTAATATACCCTGAAATTGTCTGTACAAGATTGAAATAATGCTCCAGTAATCAAAGCTGAGCTCACACTTTTGTGCTAGAACAGTAAATAGTTTATTTATCTCTAGATGTAATGGATTATCAATAATAATTTGTATTTGTTTGGTTTTCATTCAATTCAAATATATTTTTGTATGAAACTGTGAACTCAGAGTTGCTGGTACAAAATTGATAACATTAGAAATGATACTTCTGTCTTTAAAACTGAGCTCACACTATAATTTTGTGCCAGGAAAATAAATTGTTGATTTATCTCCAAAATGTACCCCATAATTAATAATAAGTTGTATGTGTTCAATTTTCATTCAATTCAAATATATTTTTATATAAAACTGACCTGAAAATTGTCATTACAAAATTTAAAACAATAACAGTAAAAAGCATTCCTCTGCCTTCAAAACTGGGCAGTAAATGGTTGATTTATCTTCAAAATGTACTGGATAATTGATAATAAGTTGTATGGGGTTGAATTTAAATTCAATTTGAACATATTTTTATCAGAACTGTGACCTCTAAGTTGCCTGTACGGGGTGTAGTACTAAGAAAGGACGCCGGCTGTATCTCGGAAACTATTTGCCGCACAAGTTTCCAAAAAAAATATGATTGATGAAAGTGGCCAAGAGAAATATCTGGAAATTATTTTTGAGTTTCCAGAACAGCCCCTAGAGGGCGTAATTGCACTGGCTAGTTTGATAAACGGTTTTTTATGAAAATTTGATATATCAAGACATAAAAAACACTCTTTTCATATTCTCCAGTTCATTTCCAATCATTTTGATCAAAAAAATTGCGCTAGCTCTTTGAATGAAAGAGGGAAAGAAGGATGAATAGTACTTTGAAAAAAATCTCATTACTACAGTTTGGTGTAACAGAATTCAATGATCAATCAATCAATCAAACTTTTATTAAATAAGTTTTCATCTACAATAAAAATTAGGAAAGAATCATAACATCAATTCAACAGGTTATACAATGAAAAATGAATATATTTATTAAAAAAGTTAAAACAATACTTAATATAAACACTATAACCATCAACTTGAAAAAAAGAAATTGAGAATGTGTATGAAACATCAATGATATACTAGACAAATATATTTACAAACAACATTAAACATTAAAATATCCTTAAAATAATCTGATCATTAGAATATTTACTCACATCATGATTCCAGGAGAAATTCATTGACTGAGTAATATGCTTTTCGCAATAAAAATGATTTGAGTTGCCTTTTGAACACATTAAGATTTGTAGACAATATAAATGTCTTCACTGAGATTATTATATAGCTTAACTCCATAGTACATGGTCTCATTATGAAGGTTTTTTTTGGTTCTTCCAGATGAATCACGAATCAAGTCGATTTAAATCCCGTTGTGGCCGCTAGATGGCATCGTTTGAAATATCAGACAATTTTCCATTTTTTTCGAAAATTTCAAATGGAACCATATTTTCATTCTACTCTTATATGAAAGTAGAGCGAACGAGAAGAAAAATTGTAAAAACCGCGAATTGATACCTCTTGAGGAACCGGTGAAATACTCGAAATAATATTATGGAAATCAATAATCGTCATCAGAAATATCCTGTATCTATGAAATTATGATTTTCAATAATTCATTTATTTCGGTTTCACAAACTGCTGTTATATCTCACAATAGTGAAGGAGACTCTTAGTAATGACATAGCTAATTGAAATGTAAGTAGTGAGTATATATAGGCTCAGGAATGAGAAAAGGCAAGTTGGCTTTGAAAGAAAGAAACGTCAAAATATAATTGAAGTTCCATTGAAAGTTTCCACTGTGGATTGCTTATTTGTCAAAATGCCGATAACGAATGAGGAGGCATTTGACACGCTAACAGTTTAAATTTTAATATTATTCCGAGTATTTCTCCGGTTCTTCAAGAGGTATCAACTCGCGGTTTTCACTTCTTCTTCTTGTTTACTGCACTTTCATATCATAGCAGGAAAAATATAAGGTTCCATTTGAAATTCTCGAAAGAATATGGAAAATCGGCTGATTTTTCAAACGATGCCATCTAGCGACCACCACGGGATTTAAATCGAACTGATTCGTGATTTATCGGGAAGATTTGAAAAAACCCTTCATAATGAGACCAAGATCGCTTAATTCCGTTACACCAAACTGTAGTAATAAGAGTTTCTCCAGAGGACTATTCATCCTTTACTCCCTCTTTTATTCAAAGAGCTAGCGCAATTTTTTTCGATCGAAATGATTGGAAATCAACTCGAGAACATGGAAAAAGTGTTTCTGATATGTCTTGATATATCAAATTTTCATAAAAACCCGTTTTTTAAGTTGGCCAATGCAATTTATACCCTCTAGCGGCTGTCCTGGGAACTTGAAAATAATTTCCAGGCATTTTTCTCGGCCAGTTTTATTATAAATTTTTTTTTCCAAAACCTGTGCGGCAGATGGTTTCCGAGGTCGTACAGCCGGCGTCCTTCCTTAGTGGCACACCCGGTACAAAATTTAGAACAGTAACAGTAGAAATGATGCTTCTGCCCTTAAAACTGAGCTCACACTACTTTTGTGCCAGGACAATAAATAGTTTATTCATCTGGAAATGTACTAGATAATTATTAATAAGTTGTAAGGTTATGTTTTAGTTCAAATCACATATATTTTCATAAAAACTGTGCTCTCAAAGTTGCATGTACAAAATTATTGAGAACACTAACAGTAGAAATGATGCTTCTGCCTTCAGAGCTGAGCTCACTTTTGTACCAGGACAATAAATAGTTGATTTATCTCCAAATGCTCCTCTGTCTGCGTCACTATTGTCTGATCTACCAGTTCCTGAGTTGCATAGGTCTGTTCTACAGGACCTGTAGTAAGTCCTGTGGGTGGCATCTTCAATCACTTGATTGATGTAAGTCGGTTTGTCCACACAACCTCTTGTCATAGAAGCCAGTTTGTTTCTGGGGTCCTAGAATTCAATGAATTTTTGTGTAAGGTACTCAGAACTGACACTCTGACAGATAAATCAAAGAATCATTGGGAATTTACTGGTTTCCCAGCGAGCACAAACATCCCTGGGATGTTTTGAAAATGTTGGCATGAAGATGTTATTTTGAGACGTGATATGCACTGACCAAAGAGGTCTTTGAAGGATATTGAAGTATTGTTTTTGTTCTTCTGTGGCATTTCTTTGTTTGCCTACTGAGAGGTATCCCTGGTATGTTTTGGGATGCTTTGCTTTAGAAATGTAGGCATGAGGATGTTTTTTTGAGGCGTAATATGCACTTCCCAAAGAGGTCTTAGAAGGATATTGAAAGTATTGTTTTTGTTCTTTTGTGCTCTTTCTTTTTTTGCCCCACCACAACGTCTCATGCTTACGTCACAATACGATGAATTCTGATTTGTTTTCGATTTTGTTCTTCTTGTTCGCAATTGACATTCGCGTTTGCAGCGTGTCACTCTTACATCACGCTGCTAACGAACAGAAAGGAATTTGGTGAAGTGTTTTGTGTTAGAAGACTTATTTAGTTCGTAATAATGACCATCAGATGCAAGATGTGTTGGTTGGTGCCTCAGTGTAATCAATATATAAAAGTACGAATTTATCAATACACAGCTTCTCCGCAGTTGCAAAATTATGCATTGTGGAGAACATTTCAAAAATTGGGAAACCTATTTCCACCAATTATATGTCTGTAGTAAGCACTACTCAGAAACCTATTAAGAAGGTAAATTTCATATCAAGAAAATATTTTTATGTTCAATCTATTTTTAAATGCATTTTTTCATTCAAGGGAAATGGAATCCTAATGCAAAAGTTCATTTTGACAAAAGGCTTCAGAAAAGTACCTCGAAAATGGTTTTTTTACAGCGATTTAATGTGCGCAAGACGCGTTGAAAATGTTTTGTTGTGTCCATGAAAAGGCTTTAAAAAGAACTAGGGAGAAGGTAGTTTTGTGACATATCAAGGACATCTCGATAATTGCCGCCTGCGGCGGACATTGGCTGTTCTATAATAGTTTTATTCATGTGTGAACAGAACATCGCAGTGGAGGTTCAATGTCTCGAAATCTCGTACTTTTAACATCTCTGAGATGTTTTTGTGCTCTGTTTCTGTGCTCGCTGGGTTGGGGATTTGACAGCTTCTATACACCCCTCCTAATTTTAGTTAAAAAATGTTCAATTGTATTTCAAATTAGTCAATTTAATGTGGAAGAGTTAAGAGTATCAAATGTATTTCAAAAGTATCAATTTAATTTCAAAACGCGTCAATATTAGTCATTTTAATTTCAAAATCTAACACTTCAAATTCCGAAATAGTCATTTGTATTTCAAAAAATATCAAATGTACTTCTATAATGCATCATCTGAATTTCAAAACTGAAAAAACACAGGCAAAGGTTAGATTGGCGTTAGGTGATATTTTCATTCACTGTGTTATTGGAATGCTTCTGGCTTCTGGTTCCTGTCATTGTGGCATCATGGATAGAAATGATTAGTTTTGAAATTGAAATTGAATTTTTTTACATTAAAATAACTAATTTGAAATATAATTGACGCATTTTGAAATTGAATTAATACTTTTGAAATACACTCCTCACTTTTTGAAATCAAAATGACCAATTTGAAATACAAATGACGCAATTTTAAATTGAAATTATTATTTTGATACTTTTTGAAATTGAAATGACTGATTTGAATTTTTGAACTAAAATTGGAAAAGGTGAAGACAAGAAATATTGAAGGGTATCATATACCTTATATTCTTGTAAGACTATGTAGCAGTACTTTTTGTCACAATCTGTGATATCTCCATCTTTGGCACCAGGTTTATCAGCACAATGTGTGTCCGAGTCATCCTCAGTGGCTGAGCATGTATAACATTTCAGAGCTGCAAACATAATTTAATTAAGTGATTGTTTTGAAATCTACTGCATTCTCATAACACTTCTTTTTTCTTTCAAGTAGGTAAGTATATATCCCATTATTTTTACCTGCTGTTTATAGTTGATGATTTATTTATCCCTGAAATTGTTCATTGGATAGAATGAATTTAGAAATTTAACGGAAGCAGGAAGTATTATATATAATCAATTTAATGGAATATTAGCTTAGCTACTAATCTATTTTTATATAGGTTTTCTTACATATATATGGGCTTACCTGTAGTTTTATGCAATATTAGCACCACAAAGATGTATAAAATAGTTTTCATTTTCAACAAATGAATTCAAAATCTGAATACTATCTGTGTTTCGTTGCACTGATAAGACTAAAAATATTATCAGACATTGATAATCTATCACAATCAATCATCCTTAGGTATAGATAACCCTGGAAGATGAAAGAAGATTATCCATTACTACAAGGAACTTACTGTGTATACCAGTCATGAAGAAATATTTTCCATGTTTCATAAACCCAAACCTGAATAATTCTTTATTTTATCCCAGTATAATTACTCATGGTATACCCCCCTTTTCTCCTTTGTTTTTATAGCTATATTTCTGAAATTTGGAACATCCAATATTCTCGCTATTGGGCACTTTCTCACATTTTTGGATTTTTTTTTCATCTTCCGGTTTTCCTGAAAATGACATCAACTTTCAATTTTCAATGATTTTCTATTCACTATTTAATTGAGATGTCCTAGTTTGACATACTCAATCAGTTTCATTTCAAACCGATTCCAAATCTGCAAAAAATAGTATTCCGTAGTACAACGTCCTGATTTTCATTAGAATTGAATTGCTCTACATCATAAATCGGTACTGGTTCATACTATTGAATTTATATTTTTACCAAAAGTCATTCTAAATCCATTATGGCGGACCATCCAAGATGGCGAAATGGTCATTTTTAATCTACTTCTACAATATGGGTATCAAATGAAAGGGCTCGTTGAGAGTAATTCGAGAAATAATGTGACGTTATTTTAAATCCAAGATGGCGAAATGGTCATTTTTAATCTACTTCTACAATATGGGTATCAAATGAAAGGGCTCGTTGAGAGTAATTTGAAAAATAATGTGACGATATTCTAAATCCAATATAGCGGACCATCCAAGATGGCGAAATAGCTATTTTTAAATATACTAGCTTCTACAATATATGGGTATCAAATGAAAGGCTCGTTGAGAGTAACTCGAAAAATTATGTGACGTCATTCTAAATCCATTATGGCGGACCATCCAAGAAGGCGGATTGGTCATTTTTAATATACTTCTACAATATGGGTATCAAATGAAAAGGCTCGTTGAGAGTTAATCGAAAAATCCAGCTAGCGATAACTAGAAATTGAAAAATAAATTAAAAGTAAAAAAAAACTTTAATAAAAAGCTTTCATTTGAACGCTCTAAAAAGAAGAAAATGAAATTTTTCTTAATAATTTTAATTTATATGATCATATAAAAGCTTGTCGCGATGATCAATATTTAATTAATTTGTAATTTTAAAAATTTTATCTCAGCAGATTTTACATAATTAAATAAGTACTAGTTCATTCACACAAGTGACAATATCTCATACATAACTTTTTAATTATTTGAATTTGCTTCACACCAATTCAAACTCAAACTGTCCATTGTGTACTACTGATTCTCTATGCAATTTTGCATCAATAAATTTCAAAGAGAGGGGTGCAACTAATAAAAATAAACAAATAATACAGAAAAGGTATTTATTAATTATATTGTAAAACTGTTATTTAAGAAATCCCACATCTTGACCAGGTTTTATTTGCCTTAAAGTAGCCCACAATGCCTCATCTAGTCTCTGAGCTACCCTGTGTCCCAATTTCAAGCTCTCCATTAAAGTAGCTGGATGCAAAGAACCAGTACCAGTCTGCAAAACCGTACTGAATTTATCCCCTGATACTGCAACTACAATAGACCCCACAGAACATTGCTCTTCTGCCACACTTGGATCCACAATGCATTTTTCCCCAATCTTACAAACTGTCACCTAAAACATGGATTCCATACTAGGAAATTGAAGAAACTTCAAATGATATGTACTACCATCACTGGTGCATTCTTCACATCTAGTCTATCACAATCATATAGCTCCTCTGAGACATTCAACTCTATGTTGTTGCCATCTATGTTGACCCCATGCACTTTCGGTACTTGTGTATTCCATAGGGCTGCTTTCACTGCTAAAGAAACTGCATCAAATAGATTGCCTCCACACTCTAGTAGTAGAATATCAACATAGACCTTCCAACACTTTTTGCCTTTGAGGATACAAAGTTTGGTCAAGTCAAAAGCATGTTTTGAGCGGTATGCAGAACTTAGTGTATTTGCTATTTCCACAGCTAGATCTTCACCTCCTCTGCCTTCAAAATCGGGAGTCGCATTTGCCGAGCTACCAGAGTAAATAAACTACTTGAATATACCTACTGCTGGTTCAAATGACAAGTCTCACCAATCAACAAAGAATTCCAGTTTGCCTTCCTTGGATCTCTCCGGGAATGGAACATCTATTTCGATCTTGACTGCAACTAGGACATCCGTATTAGCTAATCTTAGTCGAGCAGAGCCAAAAGCGTGTAATACTATATCAGTTTCTAGCTCCATAGGTCTGTAGTCTTCGCGTTCTCTTCCATCCAAACGAAAGTTCTCCTGAATTCGATTTATGAATGATGAATTAATGATGTTTATGATGATGGGAATGAATTACCTCGACTCCATGTAGCACAAATGTTTTCTCGGCCTCGCACAAAGACATTTTTCAATGTTTTTGAGAAATTTGAAAGTTGTTTCAAAACATTTTCATAACCTCAAATAAGTTGACTCTACTTCTTTTTTCTTTTTCGCTGCGGCGTCGTCATGCTCTTAGGATCCCCTGGGTTCATCGAGAGTGAGAGAAGAAGATTGAGTTATTTTGCCGCCATATTGATATTTTTTTTGAAGTTATTCGATCCAGGAGAAAATGAATTTCACATTTTCTAGGATTATTCTTTTGTCATGTGTGCTTAGGCGAGCTGGTTGAATTGATTCACGAAACGTCCAAAGATATAGGTAAGTAAAATTTCATATTTTTCAATTGACTCACATAATAATTATATTCATATATCTTTCGCAAACATATTTCGAAAGAAGTGTTACAAATTTCTCTTTTAGGTTTCTTTTAGTGAAATTTCAAACGCAGTGATATTTTTGGGCCAGAACATCTGATTTGTCCATAGTGACATGAAATGATACTAATATTTTTATTCATATGGAGACGAGAGAAGAAAATTCCAAAAATGTATTTCCTCGAATCAACTACATATACAGTAACGACAGTACAATTTTATTCACCACTGCTGTTACCTAGCAAATCAAAACATATATGGTAACCATGGTAATAGACAAAAGTTTTTTGTAGAATACCGCCTGAAAATGTCCATGTGACATGTGTCTATTTATGTTATCTCTGCAAACTTTTTCGTACGATGTCTGAAAATGAATTGGAAAGAGATGTGGAGGAACTAAAGATAAAATCAATCATTGGATTTGATGGTGAGAACACTTGACAATTTTTGTGTGTGTATATTCGAACTTTTTTTTTTAATAGGTAGTACAAACAATGGCCTAATTGTCCACCCGAATGGCAAACATATTCTCTATCCGCTGGGAAATAAAGTTGCAGTTCAAGAATGGAGCACCAAAAAACAAAAATTTTTGGTTGGGCATACCAACATCATTTCTTCCATAGCAGTGTCGAAATCTGGTAAATACGTTGCTAGTGGACAAATCAATCATATTGGATTCAAGGTAAAAAACATCTTCGTGATGAAAACATTTGAATTTTCTTGGCCCCAAATGAAAAAACTCCCCAATGATAAACTACAAATAACCTTTCATTGACTTGCCTAACCAAAATCTCTGTACTCATCAGAAACTTCCATCTTTTTCTCAAAACTGTGATTCCCTTCTTACAAATGGTTGGCATGTGTTGAAGTTTATTTCATCCAAAAAAACTCATATTATGTTCTTTGAGACGGTGGTTAATCGTTCTACCTATTAGACCAATGTATATTTCAGTACAAGATCCACAGGTCAGTTAGTCAGCTCCTGAGTTTTCAGATTTAGAAGTTTTGTCCTAAATATTTTTGATAAATCATATAAATAGGATTAACTTCGCGAATCGGTTTATTTTACGGGAGTTTCTCAAAAAGAATATTATTATCTTTAACTCATTAAAGTCGTATATCCATTGTTAATATATGTGCTCTCAAGAATTTTGTGGCATGTCGTGAAAAGTTTTTATTATTACTATGTTTCCATTTGACTCCTGGTATATTTGAGCATATAGCATATACAATCAATTATTAACATTCATTTCATTTAGGCAAGAGTGATATTATGGGACTTTGATAAACGAGAAATGCTGTCCCAACATGAGCACCACAAGGTTCGTGTCGAAGCTGTCACATTTTCCAAAGACGACAAGTACGTCATAACTTTAGGGGGCAGAGATTGCGGATCAGTGCTGGTTTGGGACATTGAAGCGCAACAGGTGCTCTGCGGAAGTCAGGTTAGAATTTTCCCCATTCATCATGGTGCATATACTTGACATTGACTGATGACAACTTATTCATTCCAAGACAGAATACATTCCACTTGGCGATCGAAACACTTTGAATGAATTACGTATTACTTCTTGATCTTCTGTCATTTCCACCGGATGATACAAATTTTTGGTTTTTACTTAGGCATTTTGAATTTGTTCAGTCTGAAATCAAACGTTTATTTTTAAATTTGAATGTGTTATTGTTGTGAATGAATATCTATTTTCTTTTTAAATGCGTTTATCTCATTTTAACCCAGATATGCCTACCGTCCTTCTAAAAGGACACTGCGTAATTTGGGTATCTTCGCGCATTTTTTCATGGATAGCACCACCTATATCAAATTGAAGAAAAATTGTTATGGATTATTATCGATACTACTGAAATATTTTGATTATTAATTTTGGTGGGTAGTGAGTATACCAAAATGGTCATTGAGTTCTTCTATCACATCGTGTTCCACTGATGGGAACGACCCGAACTTGTTCTTCTATCACATCCTGTTCCACTGGAAACGACCCGAACTTTTGATTTTAAACCATAATCATAACAAATTCAACTATACTGGGTTTGATAAGGTTATTTCAAACGATCACAAAGATATTCGCGTTTTAATTTCACATTTCAAAGTGGTTTAATGTTCCACTGACAGAGGATGATAAACATATAGAATCTCATCAAGACTATGATAAACTAGGGACATTATCTGAATATGTTCATTCCAATTTTAAATGTGTTCGTTTTCAATTTTAATGTGTTCCATCCCAATATTTGAATGTGTTCACTTTCAATTTCGATGTGTTCTTTTTTAATAATCAATGTGTTCATTTTCAATTTTAATGTGTTTATTGTCAATTTTATCGTGATTCTTAGGTAGCCAGAGGCATGCAGGGAGACGTTTCTGTAATACAGGCGATGACAAGAAGGGGGGCATGTTTCATAACGGGGGGAGAGTACCATCTCTCGGTATGGAGGATATGTAAGGAGGCCAGAAATGTCAGATGCATCGACGTTGCCATGGCGAAATTGAGGAGGACCGTTTTGTGCCTCGACACGAACGAGAGAGATGAGGTACAGTTATTTATTATCAGGGTTGGCATGAATTGATTCATATGAATTGAATCAGTGATTTAATTCGTGAATTAATTCCATTGACTTTTTTCGAAAAAGTCATGAATTCATTCAAATTTTTAAAAATGAGACAAATTGCACTATTACCTTTGATTTTAACTAGTTCAAACTGAAAAATTCGATCGTATTTTGGCAAGACTTTGTTATTTCAAGCATGACAGAGATTTTTACTAACAGATATACAGGGTAACTCACGGTCCATGGTACGTTAGACGTTTATGGAGAACGGGACATAGGATCATTCTGAAATTTTGGTTACTCACGTAGTTGCTCTCGGTCTATCGATCTAAAATATTTTAAGCTCTGCGGCGTTGCCGCTTCTATCGAAAAGTAGCAACAACTTTGTTATTTTAAACGGAACACCCTGTATTTTATTGCATTTTCAGATTCTCTCTGCTAATTTCATCGATGTATCACATTTGGGGTCTAGCGGAAATGATTACAGAGATATATAGGGTGTGAAAAATCGTCATTTTTCAACTTTAGGATTTTTTTTCGTCGAAACTATTCATTATTGGTCAAAACGGCTCACATGTCCCTATCTCAACTTTTGATTAACTATCTACTGATATTTAATTGAGACATATACCGGGTGATCAAGATTCTGAATTCTGCACCACCCTGTATTTGTTATATACAAATAATACTATAAAGCGACGAAAAGTGGGGTTAGATAACAAAATATCCATAAACATTTCTTATTAAGTTGCTATTCCACATTCAGTTTCGAGCAATTTTTGGAGGAGAATTGGAAATAGCTATATTTTTTCGAATATTCTACAATTTTGTTACAATTCTCTTTTTTTTCTGACAGTAGTGATGTTGATGATGTACAGGGTGGCCTACTAAGACTCCAGAGTTCGATTTCTATATTGTCTTGAGAGATACAAAAAAAATTCAACAATCAAAATTGAAGTAATAACCGAGCTTCACATTTCAAAATTTCTTTGAAATACACAGGGTGTTCCGTGAGGTCACAGCACATCAAAGCTATGTTTTTTTCATTGGAACACCCTATATTTTATTTCATTTTTGAATTCTCCCTGAAGATCTGATTTCAACGACCCATCATACTTAGGGTCTAGCAGTGAAAGTTACTGACATATAGGGTGTGCAAAATCGAGATTTTCCAAGTTCAGGATTTTTTTCTGTCGAAACTGTTCATTATTCGTCAAAACGGTTTACATGTCCCTATCTCAACTTTTCACTCACTTTCAATTGGTGTTCAATTAAAATTGATAGAAGATGATCAAAAATCTAAATTTATAATTTGTTTCAATTAAATGTCAATTGAACACCAATTGATAGTGAGTGAAAAGTTGAGATAGGGACATGTAAATCGTTTTGACGAATAATGAACAGTTTCGACAAAAAAAGTCCTGAACTTGGAAAATCTACTATATGTCAGTAACTTTCACTGCTAGACCCTAACTATGATACATCGTTGAAATCAGATCTTCAGGGAGAATTCAAAAATGAAATAAAATATAGGGTGTTCCAAAGAAAAAAACATAGCTTCGATGTGCTGTGACCTTACGGAACACCCTGTGTATTTCAAAGAAATTTTGAAATGTGAAGCTCGGTTATCACTTTGATTTGAATGCGAAACTTTTTTTTGTATCTCTCATGACAACAGAGGTATCGAACTCTGGATTCTTAGTTGGCCACCCTGTACAAGTTGAATAGAATTCAATTTCATGCTCACATATGGAGTTTCCAGCCATTGTTTGAGAAAATTGAAAATTGCTATTTTTATTTTTTTTAAAATAACTTCTAACCCCACTTTTTGCCATCGTAATTTTTTGAATTTACCGCCATACCAATGATCAAGTGACATGTGTCAAAATCGACTTTTAAGTAGTCAGACATGCATAATAGATCTCAGAGAAAAAATGTTTCGATATTCTACTAATAAACTTTTTCTCCATGTGTTACGAACTTTATGGATGATACTGGATCTATATGTATCTATTATTTTGTATTCTATATCATCACTTTCAATTTGGTTTTGAAAAAATGACATGTTATATATTATGATGTTATTCTACAAGATTTCTGAAGAGGAATAAAATAGTTATTTTTGTATCTAGAGCGCGAAATGCTACTTTGGTGATCAAGATCTGAGTTAAAAAAATAGTCGAGATGACCAAAGTATTTCGCGCTCGAGTTGCAAACAAAATTTTTTCTACAAACGTCAAACAATATAGTTCTAAAGTGAAAATATGCTTAGCTTGATATAAAAAATTGTGTTGAACTGGCTTAAAAGGTCTCCCCCTATCCATCCCTAGGTACGCACGATGTTCCACGAACATAATAGGAATTTCCTTTCGTGCGCTCCAAGAGAAAAAACAAAGTTATTGTGAAACATTCAGAAATAAATGATTTTGTGGATGTCTGCTCGATTGAGGACCATAAAGTTGAAATATAAATATCTCATATAGTTCACATAACAATGCGCGAAGTAGGTACTTCGCACACTGTTTTACTTCGCGCATCGTTTTGTGCAAGGAATCATGGTAACGTGGGACACTGAAAAAAAAGTGTCGCTTCGCAATATGTTATCAATGCGCGAACCTTGTCATTTTTTGACGTTTGTAGAAAAACATAGTTTTTTGTTTCTTTTTTTTATTTCGCTTTGGGTAAATGAAATTTGTTTGTTTTTTCAAATGAATTAATTCAAAAAAGTCTGACTCAATTCAAAAAGTCGGACTTTGATGACTTTTTAATAAAAATCATGACTTATTCCAACCCTGCTTGCAGACATCTTTGTCTCCTTCTGAAATAATCAATCTTATCCTGTGATTTGATTTTGTAAAATTGCGAATTTAGTGGTTGTTTAGTAATCTACGTATTGTTTCTTGGTAATAATAAAGATGATGAAGATGATGATGATTCTTGATATTCACACATTTATTTTCAAATTTATGATTTGAAGAAAATTCAAGTCAATTGTTTTCAAAAATCTATGATTTCAGTTCGTATTTGAGGGAGAACTCTGTTTTATTGAATTGTCCAGGACTGAAAATCTTCCGAGGCGAACAATTTTCCGGAAAATAAATTGTTCTAGGAATATTGATGAGAAATTCTAAATATTTATATTTCTTGTAGTTTTGTTATTGTGGAACTACGACTGGGGACATACTGAAAGTGCGATTTTATTTCCACCATGATGTGGAAATTTTGGAACCGGTCAAGCAACCATCGCTGGTCGGTTGTTGGGCCAGATTGACGAGAAAAAAATTGCCTCGAGGAAGTGTGGATTTGTATCAACAAGGTAAGGGAGCGGTTTGTACATTAGGACCTTTTGTGTCCAGAAAAGTTTTTTATAACAGAAAATTGTTCGAGAAAAATGGCCGGAGAAAATTCCAAAAACAAAAACCTGTGAAATATATTTAATGTTTCTGAAGGGTTTCTAGAAGTTTGTTGAAAAATCTCCTTTTTTGTATAACTTTCCAATTTTCAAACAAAATTCGATTAGATGAGCTATCTTTGCTTTGAAAAAAGTTCGATTTTTTTCCTAGAGACCTACTGATCAATTTCCTTAACTGAATTCTATTGTTTGTCATATGTCTAGATATCGCTTCCATTTTGGTTCTGTGACCTAATTAGGCAGTTTTTCGACCCAAAAAAGTCAATGGTCAAAACAGAATTGAGCTATCTTTGCTCTGAAAAAAGTTCGATTTTTTCCTAGAGACCTACTTATCAATTTACTCAATTGAATACTATATGTTTGTGTTCTGTCTAGATATCGCTTCCATTTTGGTTCTGTGACCTAATTAGGCAGTTTTTCGACCCAAAAAAGTCAATGGTGAAAACAGAATTGAGCTATCTTTGCTCTGAAAAAAGTTCGATTTTTTTCCTAGAGACCTACTGATCAATTTCCTTAACTGAATTCTATTGTTTGTCATATGTCTAGATATCGCTTCCATTTTGGTTCTGTGACCTAATTAGGCAGTTTTTCGACCCAAAAAAGTCAATGGTCAAAACAGAATTGAGCTATCTTTGCTCTGAAAAAAGTTCGATTTTTTCCTAGAGACCTACTTATCAATTTACTCAATTGAATACTATATGTTTGTGTTCTGTCTAGATATCGCTTCCATTTTGGTTCTGTGACCTAATTAGGCAGTTTTTCGACCCAAAAAAGTCAATGGTGAAAACAGAATTGAGCTATCTTTGCTCTGAAAAAAGTTCGATTTTTTTCCTAGAGACCTACTGATCAATTTCCTTAACTGAATTCTATTGTTTGTCATATGTCTAGATATCGCTTCCATTTTGGTTCTGTGACCTAATTAGGCAGTTTTTCGACCCAAAAAAGTCAATGGTCAAAACAGAATTGAGCTATCTCTGCTCTGAAAAAAGTTCGAATTTTTTCCTAGAGACCTACTGATCAATTTCCTTAACTGAATTCTATTGTTTGTCATATGTCTAGATATCGCTTCCATTTTGGTTCTGTGACCTAATTAGGCAGTTTTTCGACCCAAAAAAGTCAATGGTCAAAACAGAATTGAGCTATCTTTGCTCTGAAAAAAGTTCGATTTTTTCCTAGAGACCTACTTATCAATTTACTCAATTGAATACTATATGTTTGTGTTCTGTCTAGATATCGCTTCCATTTTGGTTCTGTGACCTAATTAGGCAGTTTTTCGACCCAAAAAAGTCAATGGTCAAAACAGAATTGAGCTATCTCTGCTCTGAAAAAAGTTCGAATTTTTTCCTAGAGACCTACTGATCAATTTCCTTAACTGAATTCTATTGTTTGTCATATGTCTAGATATCGCTTCCATTTTGGTTCTGTGACCTAATTAGGCAGTTTTTCGACCCAAAAAAGTCAATGGTGAAAACAGAATTGAGCTATCTTTGCTCTGAAAAAAGTTCGAATTTTTTCCTAGAGACCTACTGATCAATTTCCTTAACTGAATTCTATTGTTTGTCATATGTCTAGATATCGCTTCCATTTTGGTTCTGTGACCTAATTAGGCAGTTTTTCGACCCAAAAAAGTCAATGGTGAAAACAGAATTGAGCTATCTTTGCTCTGAAAAAAGTTCGAATTTTTTCCTAGAGACCTACTGATCAATTTCCTTAACTGAATTCTATTGTTTGTCATATGTCTAGATATCGCTTCCATTTTGGTTCTGTGACCTAATTAGGCAGTTTTTCGACCCAAAAAAGTCAATGGTGGAAACAGAATGGAGCTATCTTTGCTCTGAAAAAATTTCGAATTTTTTCCTAGAGACCTACTAATCGATTTCCTTAACTGAATTCTATTGTTTGTCATATGTCTAGATATCGCTTCCATTTTGGTTCTGTGACCTAATCAGGCAGTTTTTCGACTCAAAAAAGTCAATGGTGAAAACAGAATTGAGCTATCTTTGCTCTGAAAAAAGTTCGATTTTTTCCTAGAGACCTACTAATCAATTTACTCAATTGAATACTATATGTTTGTGTTCTGTCTAGATATCGCTTCCATTTTGGTTCCTAACTAGGCAGTTTTTCGACCCAAAAAAGTCAATGGTGAAAACAGAATTGAGCTATCTCTGCTCTGAAAAAAGTTCGAATTTTTTCCTAGAGACCTACTAATCGATTTCCTTAACTGAATTCTATTGTTTGTCATATGTCTAGATATCGCTTCCATTTTGGTTCTGTGACCTAATCAGGCAGTTTTTCGACTCAAAAAAGTCAATGGTGAAAACAGAATTGAGCTATCTTTGCTCTGAAAAAAGTTCGATTTTTTCCTAGAGACCTACTAATCAATTTACTCAATTGAATACTATATGTTTGTGTTCTGTCTAGATATCGCTTCCATTTTGATTCTGTGACCTAATTAGGCAGTTTTTCGACCCAAAAAAGTCAATGGTGAAAACGGAATTGAGCTATCTCTGCTCTGAAAAAAGTTCGAATTTTTTCCTAGAGACCTACTAATCGATTTCCTTAACTGAATTCTATTGTTTGTCATATGTCTAGATATCGCTTCCATTTTGGTTCTGTGACCTAATTAGGCAGTTTTTCGACCCAAAAAAGTCAATGGTGAAAACAGAATTGAGCTATCTTTGCTCTGAAAAAAGTTCGAATTTTTTCCTAGAGACCTACTAATCAATTTCCTTAACTGAATTCTATTGTTTGTCATATGTCTAGATATCGCTTCCATTTTGGTTCTGTGACCTAATTAGGCAGTTTTTTGACCCAAAAAAGTCAATGGTGAAAACAGAATGGAGCTATCTTTGCTCTGAAAAAATTTCGAATTTTTTCCTAGAGACCTACTGATCAATTTCCTTAACTGAATTCTATTGTTTGTCATATGTCTAGATATCGCTTCCATTTTGGTTCTGTGACCTAATTAGGCAGTTTTTCGACCCAAAAAAGTCAATGGTGAAAACAGAATTGAGCTATCTCTGCTCTGAAAAAAGTTCGAATTTTTTCCTAGAGACCTACTGATCAATTTCCTTAACTGAATTCTATTGTTTGTCATATGTCTAGATATCGCTTCCATTTTGATTCTGTGACCTAATTAGGCAGTTTTTCGACCCAAAAAAGTCAATGGTGAAAACGGAATTGAGCTATCTTTGCTCTGAAAAAAGTTCGATTTTTTTCCTAGAGACCTACTGATCAATTTCCTTAACTGAATTCTATTGTTTGTCATATGTCTAGATATCGCTTCCATTTTGGTTCTGTGACCTAATTAGGCAGTTTTTCGACCCAAAAAAGTCAATGGTGAAAACAGAATTGAGCTATCTCTGCTCTGAAAAAAGTTCGAATTTTTTCCTAGAGACCTACTGATCGATTTCCTTAACTGAATTCTATTGTTTGTCATATGTCTAGATATCGCTTCCATTTTGGTTCTGTGACCTAATTAGGCAGTTTTTCGACCCAAAAAAGTCAATGGTGAAAACAGAATTGAGCTATCTTTGCTCTGAAAAAAGTTCGATTTTTTCCTAGAGACCTACTAATCAATTTACTCAATTGAATACTATATGTTTGTGTTCTGTCTAGATATCGCTTCCATTTTGGTTCTGTGACCTAATTAGGCAGTTTTTCGACCCAAAAAAGTCAATGGTGAAAACAGAATTGAGCTATCTCTGCTCTGAAAAAAGTTCGAATTCTTTCCTAGAGACCTACTAATCGATTTCCTTAACTGAATTCTATTGTTTGTCATATGTCTAGATATCGCTTCCATTTTGGTTCTGTGACCTAATTAGGCAGTTTTTCGACCCAAAAAAGTCAATGGTGAAAACGGAATTGAGCTATCTTTGCTCTGAAAAAAGTTCGAATTTTTTCCTAGAGACCTACTGATCGATTTCCTTAACTGAATTCTATTGTTTGTCATATGTCTAGATATCGCTTCCATTTTGGTTCTGTGACCTAACTAGGCAGTTTTTCGACCCAAAAAAGTCAATGGTGAAAACAGAATTGAGCTATCTCTGCTCTGAAAAAAGTTCGAATTTTTTCCTAGAGACCTACTAATCGATTTCCTTAACTGAATTCTATTGTTTGTCATATGTCTAGATATCGCTTCCATTTTGGTTCTGTGACCTAAATAGGCAGTTTTTTGACCCAAAAAAGTCAATGGTGAAAACAGAATTGAGCTATCTTTGCTCTGAAAAAAGTTCGATTTTTTCCTAGAGACCTACTAATCAATATACTCAATTGAATACTATATGTTTGTCATATGTCTAGATATCGCTTCCATTTTGGTTCTGTGACCTAATTAGGCAGTTTTTTGACCCAAAAAAGTCAATGGTGAAAACAGAATTGAGCTATCTCTGCTCTGAAAAAAGTTCGAATTTTTTCCTAGAGACCTACTAATCGATTTCCTTAACTGAATTCTATTGTTTGTCATATGTCTAGATATCGCTTCCATTTTGGTTCTGTGACCTAAATAGGCAGTTTCTCGACCCACAAAAGTCAATGGTGAAAACAGAATTGAGCTATCTTTGCTCTGAAAAAAGTTCGATTTTTTCCTAGAGACCTACTAATCAATTTACTCAATTGAATTCTATATGTTTGTCATCTGTCTAGATATCGCTTCCATTTTGGTTCTGTGACCTATTTAGGCAGTTTTTCGACCCAAAAAAGTCAATGGTGAAAACAGAATTGAGCTATCTTTGCTCTGAAAAAAGTTCGATTTTTTCCTAGAGACCTACTAATCAATTTCCTTAACTGAATTCTATATGTTTGTCATATGTCTAGATATCGCTTCCATTTTGGTTCTGTGACCTATTCAGGCAGTTTTTCGACCCAAAAAAGTCAACGGTGAAAACAGAATTGAGCTATCTCCGCTCTGAAAAAAGTTCGAATTTCTTCCTAGAGACCTACTGATCAATTTCCTTAACTGAATTCTATATGTTTGTCATCTGTCTATATATCGCTTCCACTTCAGTTCTGTGACCTGAATAGATAGTTCTTCGACCCAAAGACATTTTCCCATATAATGTGTGCGTGGTCCTTTGTCGTTTTTCGGAAAACTGTCTGCTTTGAAAAATTATCAGATTTCTTTTCCGCCTGATGCAAATTTCTGGAAACTTTGAGAAAATAATGAGGTTCTGAACTTCCGGGTAATTTGACGAAACGTAAAATGTCTCAAAATTCATGAAGAATTATCTAAAACGAAACATTTTTTCAAATTCAAAACGCTTCGAGAACTCCTCGGCCACATTCCAATTCAAAAAAAAAATCCCAGCAAATTTTTCACCATTTTATAGGCGTCCGTGCCATCAAACTCCTCTTCAACGGCCTGCTCATCGTTGGTGCTGGCGATGGCACTGTCGAATTGGTGGAGGAATCCACCCCCAAAAGCGCGGCCGACCCCACCGTCAAACTACCCTCCATACCCGCTCTGAGGGTGTTCAAGACGACCAACGTGAACGGCGCCGTGACGTCATTGCAGATGATCGACGACGATACGGTGCTCGCCGCCACTGTCAACGCCGAGATTTACGCCATCCGATTGGACGATTTCAATGCCGAGCTGATCGTCACGTGTCATACTTCGTCCATCTACGATATCGCTTTTCCCAAGTAGGTTGTGGGGATTTTCTGATTTTTTGCGATTTATTTTCGATGTTGACCCTCTTAGAAAAAAAATTAGTACGCCCATGGAAAAGCTGAATTTTTCATCGACGTACGTTGAGAGAATATCGAAATTCCCACTTTGAAATTTCACACTGTCTTAGCAAAAAACTGGGTACGCCCTATTTTTATTTCATTTTTTTATTCTCGATCTACGCAGAAATATGAGTATGCCTCGGAATTGCCATATAGATTTTCTGTGATTTCTTTTCAATTTTGACCCCCTTAGAAAAAAAATTAGTACGCCCTTGTCGTTGTTTCGTTTTTTTCGTCGACTTACGATAAAGATGTTTATTAATTTTCACTTTGATATTTCAGACCCTCTTGAAAAAAGTTGAGTACACCCTACTGAATGTTTTTATTTTTTTATCAATCATTTTTCTACGCAAAGAACTGGGTACGCCTTTGAATTTCGTTTTTTCGTGATTTATTTTACTTTTGACCCCTTTAGAAAATAATTTGGTACGCCCTTGGAGACGTTTTTTCATCGACGTACGTTGAAGAAATCTCGAAATTCCCACTTTGAAATCTCAGACCCTCATGGAAAAAATTTGGTTACGCCCTACGATCTCAGCATTATTTTATTTTTCGTTCAAGCAAAAAAACTGGGTACGCCTCTGAAGTCCAGATTTCGATATCCTGTGATTTTTTTCTTTTCTGACCCCTTGAGAAAAGAATTTGGTACGCCCTTGGAGTCGCTGTTTCAAATTTTCATTTTGAACCTTCAATCAAATTTCACGCCTCTGAAGTCGTGATCTCGATTTTTCGTTATTTATTTTACTCTTGCCCCCCCCTCCCCCCCACTTGGTACGCCCTTGTAGTTCCTGTTTCGATTTTCAATCGACGTGCGTTAAGGAAATTTTTGAAATTTCTACTTTGTGATTTCAGACCCTCTTGGAAAAAATGTGGGTGCGCCCTACAATTTTTTTCAACATTTTTCCATTCCTCTATTGCATAAAACTGGGTACACTTCTGAAGTACGTGATTTCGATATTCTATGCTTATTTTTCTTCCTGACCCCTTGAGAAAAAAAACTGATACGCCCTTGGACTCATTGTATAGATTTTTTATCGAAATCGTTTGAAGAAATTTTGAAATTTCTACTTTGTGATTTCAGACCCTCTTGGAAAAAATGTGGGTGCGCCCTACAATTTTTTTCAACATTTTTCCATTCCTCTTTCTTGCATAGAACTGGGTACACTTCTGAAGTCCGTGATTTCGATTTTCTCTGCTTATTTTTCTTTCTGACCCCTTGAAAAAAAAAACTGATACGCCCTTGGATTCATTGTATAGATTTTTTATCGAAATCGTTTGAAGAAATTTTGAAATTTCTACTTTGGGATTTCAGACCCTCTGGAGAAAATTTGGGTACGCTCTACGGATTTTTCAACATTGCCTTATTTTTGAACTACAGCGCCTATAAAGTTGCTTTTTCCTGATCATTTCTTTCTGACCCCTTGAGAAAACGTATCAGTACGCTCTTGAAGTTGCTGCGTTGATTTTTCATCGAAGTGCCTACTTTGAAGAAATTTCGAAATTTTTTCGGATCGTCTTATGAGAAATCTGAGCACTCCTCACATGTTTCTGGAAATTTTTCCATTCCTTATCCAAGAAAAAATAATTAGTATGCCTCTGTCCTGATAATTTTATATTTTTTTCGTTTTGCCCACCTCAGAAAAATTGTTGCACGCCCTTTAAGTCGTTGTTTTGACTCCTTTTTCTTCGAAGAACGGCCTCAGGGGCGTACGCAGTATTTTTTCTAGAAGGCTCTAAGTTTGGAAACTGGTAATCTCAGGATTTTTTCGATACAGTACATCGATAAGAAATAAAAATGGCGACTCAGGGCGTACGCAATTTTTTTCCCGAGACTTTTCCGAACTTCACGAAATCTCAATCGTCATTCCAGCAACTTCTCCGAAGTATTCGCCACGGCCGGCAAAAACGACGTACGCGTCTGGTCGACGTCCACTGCGCAGGAGCTGCTGCGCATATGCGTCGCCAACTTCAACTGTTCGAGCGTCGTCTTCGCCGTGGACGGCAAGGCCATCTTGACCGGCTGGAGCGACGGCGTCATAAGATCGTTCACCCCTTTGACTGGTCGTCTCATCTACGCCATTCCGAATGCGCATAATAAAGGCGTCTCGGCGCTGACGACGACGTCGCACGGGCGCGTATTGGTCAGCGGGGGGTGCGAGGGTCAGGTGAGTTCAGATTTTTTGTACGTGTTTGTTGCTTGTTCTTACTTGTGAAAACTCTAGCTGCTGCTCTGTATCCTTTTCGAAAAACTAGATCCGGCTCGAAGGACCAATATGTTAGCTTGAACTGCTTGTTACTACCTGTGAAAGCTCCAGCTGCTTGGAATTCACTGTAACTCCAGGTAGTCTCGAGTGTTGCTCTTGATCTTTTGTGAAGAACTTGGCAGTCTTGAAGGTTTGATTTGGATAGATCCGGCTCGAAGGACCAATATGTTCGATACTCGATACATGAATTATATCCAATCCATTTTTCTGCTGGAGGTGAGGTTGTGGGACGTGTCGTTCTTTAGACAGGAGCTGATCTGCACCTTGAAGGAGCACATCATCTGGGACTTGAATTCAATAGCCATGAAGTGGCGTACTACATTATTTCCCATTTATTGTTCAATTTCCGGGATGAAATTACTAGTTAATAGAAATACTTAAGAAGAATCAAATATTTCAACTTGGCAGTCTTGAAGGTTTGATTTGAATAGATCCTGCTCGAAGGACCAATATGTTCGCATCAACTGCTTGTTGCTACCTGTGACAACTCCAGCTGCTTGGTATTCACTGTCACTACAGGTAGTCTTGAGTGCTGCTCTGTATACTTTGTCTTGAAGGTTTGATTTGGGTAGATCCGACTTGAAGGACCAATATGTTCGGACATAAATTAATTCTATTCCATTTTTCTTCCGAAGGTGAGGTTGTGGGACGTGTCACCCTTCAGACAGGAGCTGATTTGCACGCTGAACGGCTTTCGCACGATTTTTTTTACGTGTTTAATATTCAACATGACATTTCTCGTTAATTGAAAAACTTATGAGGGATCGTATATTTCAACTTGGCAGTCTTGAAAGTTTGATTTTGATAGATCTGGCTCGAAGGACCAATATGTTCGCTTGAACTGCTTGTTGCTGTCTGTGAGTTTGGGTTTTCGAGTGCTGCTCTGTATCCTTTGTCTTGAAGGTTTGATTTGAATAGATCCGGCTCGAAGGACCAATACGTTCGATGCTTGATACATGAATTGAATCTATTGAATTTTTCTTGTGAAGGTGAGGTTGTAGGAAGTGTCGCACTTCAGAAAGGAGCTGATCTGCACTTTGAAGGAGCACAAGGGTCCAGTTTCGGCCATTCACGTGAACGTGTTTGACACGGAGGCGGCTTCCGCACGACTCTTTTCTTTTTGTATTCAATATTCAACATGAAATTTCTTGTTAGTTGTAAAACTTATGAAGGATTGTATATTTTAACTTGGCAGTCTTGATAGTTTGATTTGGATAGATCTGGTTCGAAGGACCAATATGTTCGCTTGAACTGCTCTTGTGAGTTTGAGTTTTTGAGTACTGCTCTGTATCCTTTGCCTTGAAGGTTTGATTTGAATAGATCCGGCTCGAAGGACCAATACGTTCGATGCTTGATACATGAATTGAATCTATTGAATTTTTCTTGTGAAGGTGAGGTTGTAGGAAGTGTCGCACTTCAGACAGGAGCTGATCTGCACTTTAAAGGAGCACAAGGGTCCAGTTTCGGCCATTCACGTGAACGTGTTCAACACGGAGGCGGCTTCCGAACGACTCTTTTCTTTTTGTATTCAATATTCAACATGAAATTTCTCGTTAGTTCGAAAACTTATGAGGGATCGTATATTTTAACTTGGCAGTCTTGATAGTTTGATTTGGATAGATCTGGTTCGGAGGACCAATATGTTCGCTTGAAGTGCTCTTGTGAGTTTGATTTTTTGAGTACTGCTCTGTATCCTTCGTCTTGAAGGTTTGCTTTGGATAGATCCGGCTCGAAGGACCAATATATTCGATGCTTGATACCTGAATTGAATCTAATGAATTTTTCTTGTGAAGGTGAGGTTGTGGGAAGTATCGCCCTTCAGACAGGAGCTGATCTGCACTTTGAAGGAGCACAAGGGTCCAGTTTCGGCCATTCACGTGAACGTGTTCGACACGGAAGCGGCTTCAGCAAGCACGGACGGTACTTGCATCATCTGGGACTTGGAGCGACATTGCCGCATGCAGATCCTCTTCGCAAAGACGTTGTTCATGTGCGTGCGATACTATCCCACAGGGGTACAGATACTCACAGGTGAGGCACGATATACACTCACCGACAGAAAAAACTGGCCATCAAAATATTTGTCCAACTTGTTCAATTTTTCAATCCTTGTCCAAATTTTGTAAAATTTTGATCAAATCGACTTTATCATTATACAGAGAAAAACCAGAGTAACTGTTTCACCCTTTACTTCGCCCTGTGGCGAAATTGAGTGGTTGAACTTGACTTCATCATGCTTCGGATTAAAGTATGATGCCTTCTCAAGACAATAGTGTTTGATTCACGTCAAAATCCTATTTTTAAGAGAAAATACGAGTGTTTTAAGAAAGTATGTATTTTTTTATTTTTATCAACAATAATTCAGAACTATTCTCCAACCTTCTGCTTCATATTAACAACGTTTCGTTTCGGAGAAACCATCATCAACTCCCATGATAGACATCCTTATCTTGGACACACAGAAGACGTTAGGTTGGGTTAAGTTTAGATTTATTTATTTAATCATTGAATATAAGTGGAATCTACATTTTGTCATCGAATATCAATTACATGTATATATACAGTATGATGCAAATGTATGGAATAAATTCATTTCAAAACAAGACGACTTCCGAAAAAAATCCAAAAAGGAGAGTTCAGAACTTTTTTTTTATCAATGTATTTTTTCAACTAGACGACCCTTCGATGTTCCATTCTCATCAGTAGAAGATCTCTGCAAGATTCAGATCAATTGATAATCTATTTTAATTTTAATCTTCTTTTGCAAAATTTTGACTATTGGATAGACGATCAGTAGACCTTTCAAACGAGGTGTCACATGACCCCTGTTTGTATTTAAAAAAACCGTCCATTCCGTCATTACTCCAACACCGGTGACGTAACATCTTTCATATGAATGTCATGAGATGAGGTTTCAAAAATTAAAACTCACGTGTTTTTGGAATTTCTTCAAATGTCGCCCATTTCTGAAATAATGAATTTATTCCATACATTTGCATCATACTGTATATTTCATATTGTATCTCTTTCACATAGGTTAGTGACCTGTGTGTGAAAGAGATGAAGTATTTCACGTATAAAATTGGTTTTCCATAATATCAATACTCAAACTGAAAACAAATAATCAAATTATACAATAATGAGAATAAATTGAGATGAAGAAATTGAGAGTTGATTAAAGAAGATCATCGATTTTTTTCGCATTTTCTTTGAGCCAACTTTTAACTTCTTCTTTGAAAGTTTTGATATTTGGTCGTTTCAATTCTGATGGTATTCTATTATAAATTTTAGATCCAATAAAACTAGAATTATCTGAGCTCATGTTTTTAAAGTCGTACATAGTTGATTTTGTTTCTTGTATCATAACATAGATTAGGCGTGTTTTTTGTGACCCAATGACGTTTCGTTTCGGATAAACCATCATCAACTTCACCCATGGTAGACATCCTTATCTTGGACACACTGTATAATTGTTTTCATGCTCATCTGTTAACTTGGTGCGAGAAGAAAATATTTCTTGAAGGCAGATAGGGTCAAAAGACGTTAGGTTGTCTTAGATTAAGATTAGGCGTGGTTTTTTGTGTCCTAATGATTTCTGTGGCATTTTCAAGGTGGATCTGACAGAAAATTGGCGTATTGGGAAGTGTTGGACGGCAGTTTGGTGAGAGAACTAGACGGATCGCCGTCTGGTACGATAAACGCCTTGGACATTTCACCGACTGGTGAACACTTCACCAGCGGTGGTAACGATCAGATCGTCAAATTGTGGAAGTATCAAGAAGGTAAAGTAAGAAGAAAACGGTATTCGCGGTGGCCAAGGTCATAAGATGACGTTGCGATTACATTAAAAACTACGGGAAAACATCCCAATCCTTGATGGCAACGATTGGCAGTTATACTCGTTTTTAATGTCATCAGAACGTCATCTAATGACCTTGACGACCGAGAATACTCTAGAGTCACTGGATGGTATTAGTTAGGGTCCCTTGATGGAAATTGACGTTAAAGTCATCTTAACAGGGTACGGACAGGTCATAGCTGCATTCTTTTTTAATGATCTAGAGACTTTAGTTTTGTCTACTGGCATCCCTGACATTGCTATCACGTCACATCCATGGGCGCTACAGAAAATCATTCAAAATTTTAACAATAGGTATGTACAGGGTATTTGCTTGTTGAGGAAGATCATATCCGATTCTATTCAAAAATCAAAATTGGTATCTGGGGATTTCCGGGGTCGGAGATAATAATTATTTCGTCATAATTGGGATATTCAAGATGGTGGATCAAATATGGTGGACGAGTTTTGTAATGAAGATCCGATTCAATCCAAAATTAGTATCTGGGGGTTTTCTTTCGAGATGACGAATCCAATATGGCGAAAGACATCAGTTTATATAATCATTACTCTACCACAAATAGAAAATATGTAGGATGTAAGAGTGGAAATAACGTGCCTATAAGTTATACTGCATATACCTACTTCTTTGTTACTTTCATCAATAAATTATTCGAAAATGACTTTTTATTTAAGGGAGACAGAAAAATCATATCGTATAACATGGAGGTAAAGTATATTCTATTCTTCATTTTCCTGCACATTGTACGTATTACTTCTTATCAGCCTACTTTTCGTCCTAGACGAAGTTTTATTCATAGTGTGATATTAGTCACTCCATAAATTCTTCTCTGAGTTGGATTTCTGAAAATATATTTAGCACACATGACATGAGTACAGTAAGTAGTTTAGATACCCACATCATCGAGGTTTCCACCATTTCTCAATCATGAGGCTCAGCTCATTCAGCTCATAGATAAGCTACTGCTCAGCTTGAAATCAGAATTTATTCAGTCAATTCAGTCAACCTTGGTATACAGTCTAAGAACAGTATCTTTTGGTGAAATATATTAAGCTTTCGATACACTTCATATTATGTTCCTTATCTCGTAAAGATTATGCTTGAGTAGTAAACTCTGAAACTAGAGGATTATTTATCTATATCTTGGTATAGGTGAATCAGGAATTCCATATGGAAATTACGTATGATACGCCAGTGACCTCAATATAACCTAAAAAACAACGAATGTCAAAAATCTAGTGTTTATCCCCAGAATTGAATAAGGATGGAACTATATAACTGTTTCACAAACACTTTAGAGTGAGAGGAGACGAGGATCTGTCCGTACCCTGTTAAGATGACTTTAACGTCAATTTCCATCAAGGGACCCTAGTATTAGTTAGATATAAGAGTTCGGACACAGCTGAACTTCTGTCCTTCTGTCCTTTTCTATTTTCTTCACAATGGTTTTGAGTGAATAAAGGAATAAGACATATATTCTGCTCTTTGTCTTTTCAATTTCGCTGATTGTAAGATTTCAGAGGTTAGATTTTTGTCAAATCAATCATTGTCGTAGGTGGATAATAGAAATAGGGTTAAAACACCCACTTCAATTTATATAGTGATACACTTTTCACAGAACCATAGGTATTTTTTCGCGAGATCCCGTTGCATTTTCGCGTCATAACGGTAATAGGGGAGTATGATAATGGCGTCATCAGTGACGTCACAATTTATAAAACGGAAATATGTCGTGTGATTCATCTTGCAATTAGAGCTTGATTGACAGATGAAGCTTTTTATCTGAGCAAATTTTGTATCTTTAACCTGAGCTTTATTATTCATTTCATTCATTTGAATTGATAATACCAATTAGTAACGTTTATCTGCAACTGATGAAGGTTCAAACACCCTGTATATAACACGTAAACAAAAAATAATCGTGCCATATCAACCTTGTCTTTTATAAGTAGGTATTCAAATGAGAAATGGAATTATCAAAGTCTCTGAAGCAGATATATTTTTTTAAATAATTCTGGATCTAGTTGCTTCCTGTATATTCCTCAATTGACTTGGTAATAACTTGTATAGAACGATTCTTGAATGAAAAATGGATTGTTTGTCGATATTTGACTTATACGTGGTAAATCTCGGATTATTTAGATAATGAAATGAAAATAACGAATATCTAACCAAACATCAGGTTGGCACTATAAAAGCCCAAATTCATTACTGCATGGGAGATACCGTTAAGATTTTTGGCTTTTCTGTGACTTGACCACGAATAACATAGACATTTCATAGTCTTCTGCGCGACCAAAATGAACGATTCAATACTACCTGGATTGGTCCATCTACAGACAGCGAGCACAACAAAACTTATTTTTGTTGTAGTGAAATACATTTCAACTTTTGTTGTAGTTAATTATTTCAATAAAGCATATTTCCAGTGTTTCAAACTCCATTGTATGTAGCAATTTTTAAATACTGAATTGCCCTCAATTCAGTTCTAGTGGAATCTTTGATGTTTATTTAATTGGGCTTCAATTCGAGCGAAGCCGTGGGAAAAATGAGTTTATGACATGAATAAAATGAACAATGAAGTTTCGTGAATGAAATAGTAATTTACGTGAAATACTGTTTTTTGGACGCCAAGTGTTCAGTACTTTGACCCTACATAGTTATTTGGTACTTGTATTACCCCATATAAAATGACAATTGATGTATTGTTAACACGACGACGTGTTGTTGAATCATAAAAATTAATAAATAAAGTTCAGGAGAAATTGCAATCCATTGCAATTTCTCTCCTATTGATCTTTTCATCAGTTTTTATCGAACAATCATAAATATACAATCCACTCATCACCAAAGCATCGAACATTTTAATCCGGCTCGAAGGACCAAGAAAAATTCATCCTTTGTTGTTTTTCCAGGTGTGACGACTCACATCGGCGTAGGCCATGCCGCAGTAGTAACGGCCGTACGATTCAGTCCCGACGGAAAACTCATCGTCACCTGCGACGCCTCCGGGGGTGTTTTCCTCTGGGAATGTCCCCAACAAGAACCGAAACCGAAGGAAACCCAAAAACCCACCATCGAGAAAACTATCCCGGATGGAAAATCCCCCAAGTCGACCGGACGAAATGGAAAAGAGGAGGACATCAGAGATTTGCCGAGCGTGAGGAGTTCCAGGAGCGATAAGGGAGTCGCCCGGAGTTGCGGGTGTGACAGTGGGAGGAGTTGCGAGTCCGGGAGGTCGAGTTCCGGGTCGTTTTGCGGCCGGGAGTCGGTCGGATCGAAGGCTGAAGGCTGTGTCGGCGAGATGGACGCAGGTGACGCCTGTTCTACTAGGAGCGGACGCAGTGACAGGTCTAGTCAACAACGCAAATGATGAGAATGTGTATTTTTTCAACTTTTTATTCGTTTTCCTGTTACGATAATTTATTTCTATGTACAGGCTGTCCAGTTTTTGATGCTTTTGCGTGATATTTCAGTTATCTTTGCGGTTTTTGCGGTCCTTTGCCACTTTTTTGTGAAACTCATGATGGCCCAATCGGATTTTCATATAAATGTTTCCGTTTATGAGATACAGGGTGATTTCGAAAATTCATAATTTGTGGACAGCCTCCTATATTAATTTATTTTTCTTATTTCTATTTATTTCCATATATTTTTATTTATTTTTATTTATTGAAAATGTGACTTCCAGTCAGAATCAAGTTCTGGTATGAGGAAGTATAATTAACAATAATATATTTATGATGTTTCCCAGCAAAAATGTCGAATTTAAATCTTCTCTCATATACAGTGTGTCCCACTTATCATGCTCACAATGGGTATCTTTTTAACGGTGAGAGATACGAGGTCGGTTAAATGACACCAAATGTGGAGTTTGTCAAGGCCAACTATAATGTGAAAAAATATTTTGATAAAATCTATTCGTTTTTGTTTTATAGGCAAAAAACAGATTTTGATCATTTTCATGTGTCCTCCGTAACTTCTTTATTTATGAAAATATTCAAATAGGAAATTCATATTCTTATGACAGTTTTTCGAAGTGATTTTGAAAAAAATATGAAATTTATACCAACTCTTCTAGAATTTCAGATATCAGCACCAACTTTAGTTTTTCAAATGTAGGTCATAGCTGACTATGACTTAGTTACAAATAACTTTTTTTCTCTCACAGATGATACGTCGCAGAAATAGTTTTGTGTTGATAACAACGGAGTTATCGTCATTTATAAAAAAACAAAAAAATATTTGGAAGCCGCCATCTTGAATTTATGAATTTCAACGAAAAAATCATGATCTCCGACCTCAAAAACCCCCACTTACCAATTTTGAATAGAATCGGACCAAATCTTGTCCACCATCTTGGAGCAGCCATTTTTTTTTTCATTTCAACAAAAATTCCATAATGTATTGTCACCGAAATCATGAACACCTGCCAAATTTCGAGGTAATCGGAGTTATGGAATTTTTGTTGAAATGAAAAAAAAATGGCTGCTCCAAGATGGCGGACAAGATTTGGTCCGATTCGGTTCAAAATTGGTGAGTGGGGGTTTTTGAGGTCGGAGATCATGATTTTTTCGTTGAAATTCATAAATTCAAGATGGCGGCTCCCAAATAATTCTTTGTTTTTGTATAAATGACGATAACTCCGTTATTATCAAGACAAAACTATTACTGCGACATATCATCTGTAAGAGAAAAAAAAGTTATTCGTAACTAAGTCATAGTGAGCTATGACCTACATTTGAAAAACTAAAGTTGGTGTTGATATCTCAAATTCTAGAAGAGTTGATATAAATTTCATATTTTTCTCGAAATCACTTTGAAAAACTGCCATGAGAAAGTGAAATTCCTATCCCAATCAGCACCAGACATCTTAAAGACGTACATTTTACGACTTACTTACGTCTTTACGTCCAGGGACGTATAAAGTACGTCTTTAAGATGTAAATCCATGTACATCTTAAAGACGTACACGAATTTACGTCTTTAAGACGTACATTTTAGGTCGTATCCACGTCGTTCCTCCCATGTCGTATAAAAGACGTCTTAAAGACGTATACATTCCAGTACGTCAATTCGACTTATAGAACAATAATGTAAGTTATTTTCTGAAGAAAAACAAAATGTCATCTCTTCACGTTTTTTATTTTCAATTGTTCAGTTTTTTCTTATTTTCAACAAAAGTGATGTTTTTGAATTTTTTCGTCCGACATTTTGGAGCCTTCGTGTCAGATTCTCGAATTTTTACAAAAAAAATCATATCCTCTCCGACCCCAAAAGTCCCATAGTAATCAATTTTGAATAAAATCGGACTATAATCACAAAACTCGTCCGCCATTTTGAAGCCGACATCTTGGATTTTTCATTTTCGACAAAAGGAATTATAATCTCTGATCCCGAAATCCTTCAGATGCCAATTTTGAATCAGATCAGACCATAATCAGAAAACCATATGCCACATCGTCCGCCATATTGGATCCGCCATTCTGTTTTTTCCATATCACAACGAATTGTCACCGGAATAATATTAATAATAATAATAATAATAATAATAAATCGTCTTTATTATTTTCAACAATAAAATATTCAGTAATCATATTAAAACAATGAAAAATTCTAAGAAGAAAATAATGGGCGGAGTTCAAATTTGGTGGTGAGTCACCACTAACTTGTTCTTCCACTCAACCCTAAGAAGACTGTGTATTAATGTAAATTCAAGTTTCTGTTGCAGTACATAAAAAAGAATTAAAGTAAGTGAAATGTCTAAGGTGGCACAATATATATATATATATATACGTACATAACACAATATTTCAGATTTGAGACTCGTTCAATAAAACTTTGTATAATGCTTTAAAGTTGCTGGTATTGAGTGTTTTCATTTTTTGTGGTAGTTGGTTGTAAAGATGAAAAATTTGGTAGCTGAATGATCGTCTGAATAATTCTGTTTTGAATGGAGGTACTGTCAATAATCCCTTGTGCCTAACATTAAGATTATGAATATCTGTTCGGAACCTCAACTTTCGATGCAAGTATGGAGGTTTCTTGGTAACGATGATCTTGTGAAAGAGTACAACAGAATGAAAAACTCTCCTATTGTTCATATTGAGCCATCCAATTTCTTTGAGTTTATGTGATATTCTTTGCCGTCGCCTCACACCAAATATCAACCGTAGACAGCAGTTTTGCACTTTCTGTATTTTATTTTTGTATTGCAAAGTGAGATTGGGTCCATAAAGAATATCTGCATAATTGAATATTGACAGTATCAGTGATTCACATAACATTGTCTTAACACATGATGGAAGAATTTGTCTATGTCCATAAATAATTTTGAGAGTTGCATAAGCGCGTTGCAAAAGTCGGTTGATATGTTTAGCAAAGCGCATTTCAGTATCTAATAGAACACCAAGATTTTTTGCTTCATCTACTAGCGTGAGCGGTTCATTATTGATAGTGATGTTCATAGAATCAGACATCGTTTGTGTCAGGTTCTTGGGACCAAAGAGCATAACATTTGATTTAGATGGATTAATAATTAGGCAATGGTCAGTAGCAGCTTCTATGAAAGCATTCAAATCTCTAAGTATGAGCTCACAAGCAATGCCAAATTTCGAATCAATCGGACGATTTAAAGTGAGTCAAATTTAACTTGCACGTTTTGATTACAAACAGACACAAGGACATGTTAAACTATGTAAAAGCTTGTTATGTGATATATAGAACAAACAGAGTAACAGAAGAAGTGAGGATGGTATAATCATCGAAGTCAAGCAACAAAGAGCGCGGTTAGTACTTGAATGGGTGACCGCTTGTGTCTACCGTTTGATGAAGTCGTTTATTTCCCTTTTTTTTGCTTTTCTGCTCTTGTTGCTAACTTCAGTGCACAGGTGAAAATTAACTGAAACTATGTGATTTTTCCGTAATTTGAAAGATCAATTTGAGGTAGTGGAAAATGTACGTTTTAAAGACGTCTTAAAGACGTCTCTTGGGCGTAATATGTACGTCTTTAAGACGTACTTATGTCCCGACATGTACGTCTTAAAGACGCCTTTAAGACGTACTTTGGCTGATTGGACCCTGTATTTAAAATGAATGAAACTACTATTCTAATATCAATTTATTCTCATAAATTAGACAAATTCCAGTCGAAAACTATTGCAAATACGCGTTCTGCACCCTGCTGAAAATCTTGACATTATCCTTGGGAAAAAACCCCAACATGTACGCCCAATCGTCGAACCTGAGCGTTAGCACCTCGACCTCGCTGCCCTGCGGCCGATAGCAAAAGTTGTGGTGTGCCTCGAGGTCCAGTCCTTGGGACACTCCGAACAGGTCTTTGGCGTGAAGGATCACGTGACGCGTCTCGGTGAGGTCGTCGTGCTTGGTCGACACGCACACCTCGCCCTGTACAATGAAGTACATGGTGGAGTCCATGTGGCCGTGCTTGACGATGTAGTCGTGCTTGAAGAAGGTGCGCGGGGTTAGTTTGGAGCATATCTGGCTGAGCAGGTTCTCGTCTATGTCCTGGAATTCGGTTTCGTCTTTGATTATTCAAATGAAGACTGTTAAGGAAGATTATTATTTATATTTGTTCGTTTCCATATACACCTTGTATGTTTTTGAAAAAGAAAAATAGTGACAGTGTCAGATAATTAATTAATGAATGATTGTAAATGTCAATGAAATATATAAAGAAATTAAGGGAAAGAAAGATATTTATTTGATATAAGTGGAAAGAAAAGAAATAGAATTAACATCGGTAATACGCTTCCAATTTCACCAGTCCCAGCGAGCACAAACATCCCTGGGATGTTTTGGGATATTTTGAAAATGTTGGCATGAAGATGTTATTTTGAGACGTAAAATATGCACTGACCAAAGAGGTCTTTGAAGGATATTGAAGTATTGTTTTTCTTCCTCTGTGGCATTTCTTTGTTTGCCTACTGAGAGGTATCCCTGGGATGTTTTGGGAAATGTAGGCATGAGGATGCTTTTTGAGGCGTAATATGCAAAGAGGTCTTAAAAGGATATTGAAAGTATTGTTTTTGTTCTTTTGTGCCCTTTCTTTGTTTGCCCCCCCACAACGTCTCATGCTTACGTCACAATACGATGAATTCTGATTTGTTTTCGATTTTGTTCTTTTTGTTCGCAATTGGCATTCGCGTTTGCACCGTGTCACGCTTACATCACGCTGCTAACGAACAGAAAGGAATTTGGTGAAGTTTATTGTGTTAGAAGACTTATTTAGTTTGTAATAATGACCATCAGATGCAAGATGTGTTGTTCGGTACCTCGCAGTGTAATCATTATATAAAAGTACGAATTTATCAATACACAGCTTCTACGCATCAGTTGCAAAATTATGCATTGTGGAGAACATTTCAAAAATTGGGAAACCTATTTCCAATTATATGTTTGTGTGTAGTAGCACTACTCAGAAACCGATTAAGAAGGTAATTTCATATAAAGAAAATATTTTTATGTTCAATCTATTTTTAATGCATTTTTTCATTCAAGGGAAATGGAATCCTAATGCAAAAGTTCATTTTGACAAGGGGCTTCAGAAAAGTACTTCGAAAATGGGTTTTTTTACATCGATTTAATGTGCGCAAGACGCGTTGAAAATGTTCTGTTGTGTCCATGAAAAGGCTTTGAAAAGAACTAGGGAGAAGGTAGTTTTGTGACATATCAAGGACATCTCGATAATTGCTGCCTGCGGCGGACATTGGCTGTTCTATAATAGTTCTATTCATGTGTGAACAGAACATCGCAGTGGAGGTTCAATGTCTCGAAATCTCGTACTTTTAACATCTCTGAGATGTTTTTGTGCTCGCTGGGGTAGGACTTCCTCCTTCGCCACATATATCTGATATTGCTTTCTTGTCTCCACCAGTTTTCGATCTATCAATTACTTATCAAGGTACATACTTTGAATAAGAAAGTTTCCCTCAGGTAGTCGCCATATAGTGATACTGAAATCTCCTGTCTTAGTGTATAGGGTAGCTCTTCAAATATCTTCGATGCGAGTAAACATTTTTCGTAATCCCACTGGTTTTTCAAAAATGTCCAAGTTCGTTGAATCAAGTATTCTGAAAGGAAAAACAAACGATGGGTGGACCATTTTCCAAAAAAATAAACCGACTTACCTGATACATTTCTGTTTCTCAGGTATTGTACTAATTGTTTTGAATCACGCTCATATTCCAGATGTGTTTTTTCGGACTGGTAAACATATCGCAAAACAGACCCTACAAGAAAGTAATAAAATGACAATGCAATGATATACATTTGAAAAATAGCAACTTCGCACACACTCTGTACAGAATGAAAATATCTTTGAAATGTAGCACATCACTCAACTTTTTCCCCGAACTGAAATATTCCTGAATATACAGGGTGTTTCATAATTGAATGCTGATCCTAAAGGGCGATGATCCTTGGATGATTTTAAGGAGAGAAGTTCATATCAACATATGTCCTGAACCTCTTAGTTTTTGAGCTACAGGGTGTTGAAATCAGAAGCGTACAGCGTTTTTTTAAACTAAACATTCAATATCAGATCTACGAGGACATCACTGGTAAAAGTAAAAGTTTGATTTTTGTCCCAAAACAAAATGTGTTTCAACTTATAGTGGGTGTCTACTGAATTACCAAAAACAATATCCAAGAACTGAAGGAACAAAATTCTTTGGTTTTTATTTTTTACGCGAAAACGATACGTTGTATGAAAGTGAGTCTAGCAACCAAATTTGCTCCAAAATGATTAGGAATTGAAAAAAAAAATCTGGTTCTCAGAAAAATCAGTGGCGTTCTCCAAAAATTGTCAGTTCAAACCCCGTACGGACGCCACTGGTGAGAATTTTTAATTATCTTTCACGTAAAAAAATGCTCCTTAATAACGAAAAGGTGTACACAAAATATCATAACAATATCTAAGAGTGATCAAAAATTATGATGAAAAATTCATTTTTTTCTTGAAATTTCATCACCCTGTAGCTCAATAACTAAGAAGTTTAGGACATATGTTGATCTGAACTTTTCTCTTTGAAATCATCCAAGGATTATCGCCCTCAAGGATCAGCATTCAATTATGAAACACCCTGTATAAGTATTTACCTATTATATTTGATATCATGATTTTTCCAATCAGAATCGTGATCAATGCAAAGCACAATTCCAAAACATTTTCTGGCGAAACATCTCCAATACCCGTCGTTGTCAACAGAGATAACACGAAGTAGTAAGACAGGACCACCCTGTAGCAAACGTTCGTGGCCGAAACGTCGTTTCTGAAAAATCTCGTCCGGTCATTTTTTGTAAGAGTTTTCCTGCATTTTTTTACCCAAATTTGAAAATCCATGAATCTGGATGACAGTTATCGAATGGACAAGACATCATGAACCAAATGCAAGCAAGGATATGGATAAAAAAAGTGTAGTAAAGGATCGATTTTGCCAGTGGAAGCCAGTATTTGGCACCAAGTGTATTGCAATACTGAAATGAATTTATTTTATGAATCATTTCCTATTCTTTATGCAGGGTGTATCTAAATAACACCGAAAAAATTCAAGGGGTGTTTCCTTGTGACATTCTAGCAAATAATAGTATATTATGTAACAAGTGTTATAAACGTCCTTTTAGTAACGAGTATTTTAAGCACGAGCGGAGCAGAGCGGACCCAGCGAGCACAAAAACATCTCAGAGATGTTAAAAGTACGAGATTTCGAGACATTGAACCTCCACTGCGATGTTCTGTTCACACATGAATAGAACTATTATAGAACAGCCAATGTCCGCCGCAGGCGGCAATTATCGAGATGTCCTTGATATGTCACAAAACTACCTTCTCCCTAGTTCTTTTTAAAGCCTTTTCATGGACACAACAGAACATTTTCAACGCGTCTTGCGCACATTAAATCGCTGTAAAAAAACCATTTTCGAGGTACTTTTCTGAAACCTTTTGTCAAAATGAACTTTTGCTTCAGGATTCCATTTCCCTTGAATGAAAAAATGCATTAAACATAGATTGAACATAAAAATATTTTCTTGATATGAAATTACCTTCTTAATCGGTTTCTGATTAGTGCTTACTACACACAGACATATAATTGCAAATAGGTTTCCCAATTTTTGAAATGTTCTCCACAATGCATAATTTTGCAACTGCGGAGAAGCTGTGTATTGATAAATTCGTACTTTTATATATTGATTACACTGAGGCACCGAACAACACATCTTGCATCTGTTGGTCATTATTACAAACTAAATAAGCCTTCTAACACAATAAACTTCACCAAATTACTTTCTGTTCGTTAGCAGCGTGATGTAAGCGTGACACGCTGCAAACGCGAATGCCAATTTTGCGAACAAGAAGAACAAAATCGAAAACAAATCAGAATTTATCGTATTGTGACGTAAGCATGAGACGTTGTGGTGGGGCAAAAAAAGAAAGAGCACAAAAGAACAAAAACAATACTTTCAATATCCTTCTAAGACCTCTTTGGGAAGTGGATATTACGCCTCAAAAAAACATCCTCATGCCTACATTTCTAAAACATCCCAAAACATCCCAGGGATACCTCTCATCAGTAGGCAAACAAAGAAATGCCACAGAAGAACAAAAACAATACTTTAATATCCTTCAAAGACCTCTTTGGTCAGTGCATATTACGTCTCAAAATAACATCTTCATGCCAACATTTTCAAAACATCCCAAAACATCCCAGGGATGTTTGTGCTCGCTGGGGAGCGAGTGTTTAATAAACGAGTGTCTAGAAAAGTTTATAAACGCGTTATGTACTATGCTTTTTCTACGAACTCCGAAAATTACATAAACATACCTGCTATTCCTGCTAACCTACGAAATAATTCGAAAGGAATGTGAATTGAGAACATATAGTACATGCAACTGCATGCAACCAGCGAGACACGTATAAGTGATATTGGTTGTAGATGTGTCCAGTCCATTGCTTACTAACCTTTGTTTCACGTTTATTGTCATGTTTAGCGCAGAATAAATAAATTGTTCTCAAAGATGGACGCTTCATTTTTACACTTCTAGGAGATATGCAAGTACCAGAACATTCTCTTTGATTTCACTTTCAGTCCAATAAATGAAGGAGGAAAAAAAGGCAAAGTTAACGTTAATTACGCACTATTTTCATCATTCGGTTGGAAGTAGCTTTTGGTACCTCATTAAACATGAGACAATAAAGTTTGACTGGAAAACGATGGCGGAGAAAATGGCCCCAAAAGACCAGAAAAATAGGTTTTCAGCCAATATCTCCTAAAATATGGCAGTTAGAGATTTTCGGTTCAGATAAAAATTGAAGTTCAGTTAATTTTCTACAAAAATGGTCCTTATCATTTCTCTCGAAAATTTGCCTGGTTTCGAGAAAAACGGCACGAAGCGCACCTCGAATAATGAGCTTCTGTTGTATGCCGGAGAGCACAGTCCGTGTATTTACTCATCGGCGGGGGGACAAATTATTCAATAACTTTGTTAAAAATGCATATTTTCTCATGATTCAAAGTTCATATGAAAGAGGAATTCTGCTGCTATCATACCCTGTGAATTGAGTCACGCTTGACTCTTTTGGCCATATTGGAACATGGGTCAAACTTTCTGCTTCCGGTCAATTTTGACCTCGCCAGGAATTTGTTCCTATTTTTTTTGTATTTCACTAATTTACTCAAAATTTCCTTCTTCATTTCCTCAAATATCTGTGTTAATGAGATACACCCTGTATATTATGATCACAACAACATTGTTTTCTTAGCAATGTTATAGCAAGGTCCGATATAATGTGGGCTTACAGTGTCGAAATATTCCGAGATATAAACGAATCTCAGAAGGTGGATCAGTCTGAGACAAGAATAAGAAAAAAACCATTCTTCTCTTGGAAAAACGAAGCACGTTAGATACACTGGTAGATTCGGTGCAACATCCCAGAAAACTTGTCTCGAGCTGTTCAAATATCTTCGATAAATCTTGCTGTTGGTTTTCACCAGATTTCCGTAGAAATTGATGTGGCTTTGATGCAATTTGAAGAAAATCCTCACGTAGTAAACGGGTTCGAATACCAAGTGAATGTAATCCACCATGCTGTTTTCTTGGGTGACGAAAATGTATGGTATTGCAAATATGTTCAAGATGCTCGAAAATACTGTGATGAAATCCAAAACCTGAAAAAAACGTTAGATCTATTCATAGATGGAAAACCCAAAGTCAATCTCCACAACTTTTTTGAAAATGATCAGAGATCAGTAAAGGTACCGGGTGACGTTATGAAGTACCATCCCCTATAAATTTATTATTGTTCACAGTGAAAAAAAAACAGCCTCACAGGGGATTTTTTTCCTCATCGAATCACCTGATATATTTTTAGTATCATATTGCAAGAAAAAGTGTAAAAATTTAAAGTGGAACGCCCTATATATTTTCGCGAAATTAGATAGACCTTTCGAAGAGCTTTCCGAAAATATCCCACTCAATACATTTATCTTCAGTATTTCTCATAATATGGGCAATCTAACGTAAAAAAAAGTGTTTACCTATCGATCCTCAAATGATTTTTCAGAGTATGTTGTGACCATGAATCTTGGTAATTAATATATCGTTATGATATTCAATACTCATTGACAGTAAGTAATTGCTCAAAGTCAGGATTGTAATATTGATTTGATTTCCGGAAATTGACAAGAACAAAATAACATTGATCACAACTAATATTTCCACCCCCGTTCTAAACACATTCTTCGTAGCAATTCTGTGAATGACTTATAGCATTTTCTATAAAAATGGGCATGTCATTTATTCATAGACATGAATAGTGAATCATGTCTAAAGAAATATTTGATAGATCATCATCAGCATTATTCAGATTCCGTTGATAAATTTTATTCTTGATATCGTCGGCGAACTGACAATACCTGCTAAGTGCAATATAGTGTAGAGCAGGTTTTTTTACAGGAGATGAATAAAACATAATCGAGTAACAGGTCAAGTCGATAGCAGATATTGTTTTCCTTCAATGAAGTAAACAAAGGATTCATCTGGAGGTAGCAGTTCATTTCAGATTGTGCGCAATGAATATTGAAAGCTATAACTGCATGAAATACCAATATTCGAAAAAAATGTTACTTAGCAGGTATTGTCAGATCGCCGACGATATATCCCCGAAGAAAATTATCAATAGACGTCAGATTTGGCAGTTTTTCGACCCAAAAAAGTCAATGGTGAGAACAGAATTGAGCTATCTGCTTTTTCGCCTAGGACCATATCTTATCAATTTCCTTAACTGGAATGTAAATGTTCGTCATATCTCGAGATATCGCTTCCATTTTGGTTCTGTGACCTAATTAGGCAGTTTTTCGACCCAAAAAAGTCAATGGTGAGAACAGAATTGAGCTATCTTCACTCTGAAAAAAGTTTGAATTTTCGCCTAGGACCGTATCTTATCAATTTCCTTAACTGGAATGTAAATGTTCGTCATATCTCGAGATATCGCTTCCATTTTGGTTCTGTGACCTAATTAGGCAGTTTTTCGACCCAAAAAAGTCAATGGTGAGAACAGAATTGAGCTATCTTTGCTCTGAAAAAAGTTTGAACTTTCGCCTAGGACTATCCATGAAAATTTGTACTTCAGTCCGAGTTTTTTTTTTCTATATCATTTTGCATCAAAATTATCGAGTCAATTCCGAGTGTGGATTGAGAAGTATCAACCCTGTACTTCAAATTGTGTGTGAGATAACATTAAATTGAATATCTACTTTGAAAACATCGTGGTTTGGTTCTAAAGCGAATCTGAACCATCTTTGTGGGATACAGAACTGCACTGGCTTATACTTTCTGAGTAAAATACTGGATTTCCTTGTGATCTCCTCTACTTCAGATTCCATCTGATCTACCACATCAACCTCCTGAGATTGACCTAAAAATAGAATATTCTCAATAGACCTTTTCTGAGTGGAAAAAGGTTCATCTTTTCTCTAGGTACTATTATTTTTTTCATAGAGCAATTTGATCCAAGCTACCAACCTCATTATTCATTCGTGAAAATCAGAGCTTGTTGCCTAATAATTTCGCGAATGACACTGTTTATGTAAACTTTAGAGCCGTAGTCGAGAAGTTTTGGATCCATGTCATGAGCGAAATTGAAGCAGCAAGTTGGATTATGTCAATCGACGAATATTTCCAGGAAAAATAGTATCTCGAGTTGTATTCTTATGAATATTTCATGATTGAGACGATAAACGAGCGCCTCGCAAGAGTTGCGCACACTGCATCCATCATTCTGGCTCCCAACAAGGTATAAAACTATATCTCGTGTCAATTCGGCTTCTGTATTGGCAAATCCGATAAAATTTATTGAACGAAAAATATCACTGTAATACAGAAGAATCCATGATGATTTTTTATGTTCTGCTTCCCAAGAAAAGAGAAATCCTGTAATCCTTGCAATTTTCCAGTTGGACGGGAATATCTTCAATTTGTAAGAGTAGTTGAACAACTTGAATAAATAAAGTTGGTAACTTGGGCCTCGCTCCTCATTCGATCAGGCCACCTAACTAGAGATATCGTCAGCCCTGACTGAAGAGGACATGTAAAACAACTTCTTTTTCCACACGTTATCCATATCGTCCAGTACCACCGGATAGTACTTGACAGCGTCAAACAGCTCAGCAGTATTGATGACCCACAACTCCACATTCCTTCTGGCAACAGCGCTCATGCTACTTCTGCTGTAAACACTTTTCTGTATGTTACCGAATATGCCAGAAACATCCAAGATTTCCGTTTGTCCGTGGCCTGAAATTACTTCTATTTGACCGGAAGCAACGATGAAAATCTCGTGAATCAAGTCTTTGGGTCTCACGATGATTTGTCCTGAAATCCGAAAATTTTCAAATGTTGACCAGTTTTTATTCATATAAGCTAGTCGACACTTGAAAAGCTCATATACCTTTTCTGAAATGTTTCACTTGGATCTTGTCCACAAACAACCTAAGAAGATTGGTGTCTAAATCATAGAATAACGGTACTTCCTCGAGGATGTTCTGGTAATAATTGAGCAGAATGTCATTTAGTAGTGGTACTTCAGCTTGCATTTTCTGGATTGAATGGAACCTGTCTCCCTGAGCTCCAGTCCTTTCCCATGTTAATTTGAAATGTCTGAAAGCCTAAGGGAAGATTAAATTATCTTCTATATATCTATTTGAAATATTTGAATCACTGTACTGTACCTTCTTTCTCAACTCAGAACTCAATTTTTTGCTGTTGAAGAACTTCATCAGCTGCCCTACACTTTCACGGTACTGAAATGTTTCCTCAGCTCTTTCCAGCATGATACCGACTACGATACTAGTGAAAATGGAGAAAATGATAAACCCGATTATCGTTGCTAGAGTTGTACCGATCAAAATGGTTGAAGTTGCTGGTTTCAAGTCTCCAAGACTGGTCGAGGTGATAATATTGACAACTCCGTACACTCCTATCAACAGCAGTTCTAGGGGATCTGGAAATCATTTCCTTTAACTTTTGATTAGTGAAATCTTTCTTTTCCTACCTGTCAGTTGGTCGAAGAGTGAGTTTTCTTTCCAGAACCCGATGTCACAGCTGAGGTAACCTTTGTGAACGGTACCGTTACCATCCTCCCAGATGGTCTCGACTCTCCCTGGGACACCATCGAAGAGGTACCTACAGATCTGCCGTATACCGAGAGTGGCGAAAACATTCACAACGACAACCGCAGCCAAGGCGATTTGGACCAATCTGAAGGTTCCGAACCGCTTGAACAGATCCATCTCCAAGTACCCGAAGAACTTGATCACTTTGTACAACTGCAGGAGCTTCACAAGCTTCCACGCGTTGTGGTGGTGGTGGGGGGCTATCAAATCCGTTTCTGATCCGTTGTGATCCGAGTTGAACATCAGCTTTTCCCAAGGTAGAGCACAGAGGAAGTCCAGGAGGAAGCTGTGCGATAGATAGTACCTAAAACAGGGAATGTCTCGTAAATGTCTTCAGACGTGGATTGGCGTTAACGAGAAATGAAGTGGGGTCCAATTTTGATCCTTGTGGTACCCTTCTGGCTTCTCGAATGTATTTTTCGTATCCTATAGGGTGGTCCAAATACTCAAGGAACACCATGAAGAACCATAATATGTAGGTATACCCAATTAACACTCTATCTACTTTCAAGGCTTGTCTGAACGGAGTATATCCGATGACACTTCAGGCATGTTGGTCCATTGTATCTCACCTCGAATAAGTCGTTATTGTTTTTACCATATTATATGAAGCATGGTTCTTTAATAAGAGCCAGTTCAAATACCATCGCAGTGAATGTAAGCACTGCCGCTCACAGTACCAGAGGTTAGTTTGGAAGACCCTTTCGTCCATGAAGAAGGCCAAAAGTTTCCCTTTTCCTTCGAGTATATATAATGGGGGAAGAAGTTGGTCAAGTCCTATAGTGCTCCTTGCACAGATGAGCAAAGGCTGTTTACTCTGAGATATTGTCACGAATGAGACCAGTCAGTATATAAAAGATTCTCTCAACTGTGATAAAAGTCAATACACTTCAGACCCAAGTCTTTAGTGGTCAACAGAAACTGAACATCTGTGAGGGATTTCGAATTTCTTACCAGGACGTATAAGCCGGATGGATCTTGAACGCTCCTTTTCCATCGTAGTAGGCTATATGTAATGACAAATACATGTCGATGTAGATGGAGGCGTGGCAGATGACCAGCCACCAGTACAGTTCATCGGCAAAAGGTGGTGCTAGGATCGTCAGCGGGTCCAGAATGCTGGACAGGAAGATGAGGAAACATCTGACGGAGCACCAGAGGGTGAGAAAGAATCCTTCGGGATGGATGGAAACTGGCAACAGCAGAACACCGAGAGGCCACAGTGAACCCATTTTTCGTCTGAAGACTTGGCAGTAGTTCGGCCAGTGTTTGGTGAGGTTGATGAAACAGGGCCTACAATTTGAAAGAGTTATTTCATTGGCAGATCAGTGGTTTCGGCACCGGACCCAACGAAAGCATATAGTATATACAAAGTCAGTTGAGACACTTCCGTTTTCAAAGATAATACGAGGAATCATCAATTTACTTTTATTTACTTTATTCATTTATTGAACAAATAACTCCCAGACAGAATAGGCTTTTGAAAGTAAGTACTTTTCTTTCGCATACACTAACTTTCCGTCCGATGCTCGGTTGACATCGTTCCATGTCAAAGCCACGTCAAAACTGGGGGAAAACAAACTCAATCCTCACTCAATCCCAATAATCCCATTTTAGTGCCATTAGCTTGTGTACTGTGTACTGATAAGAGTGATAAGTTGTTGAATTTCTTGACATTAATTGTCAATATTCGATCGAAAACGCTAATAACGCCGGTTGTAGATGTTCTTTTGGCAGATATTTTGCTCTATTGAGATGGAAAAAGCCGACCAGTAGTGGAAGGAGAAGCAGTTCTCTCTGCTAATCATGTGATTTTGTGTGAGGCAGAAGACTTCAACAAAAGGCACATTTTTGCACTTTCTTCACAAACTTCGGCGATGAAATCTTCCCCACATGAAGTGAAATTGAAGTTGGGGTCCAGAGGAACTCCTGTAGAACAATGGATTTGTATTTGTTTCTGCAAAGCAGGAATGTTGTAGCTGTTCTTCTATATGTCAATTGATTTGCTCGTCATAATTAGTTTGAATTTTTTGAACTATCTCCAATTTTTCACCCGTTCACTGTTCACTAAACTAATGAAATTGTGATAATGTAAAAAAATTAACCAACTCAACCATCATTACTTCCAACAGTGCCAACACTTTATGTCATTGACAAGTTTGACAACTACAGCTACCTACAGCAAGCTGTATGCAATGTAGTCTATGCACTTTATCCATAGACAACAGTTTGTTTTCCCCCAGTTTGAAGTTCGTATTGTGTAACCTAGATGTCGCCCACTTCGTGAATCTCGCGAATAGGTGCTTCCACACTCACTGATTTGGATCTCTGTGATCCCTAGCCTCAAAAAACGTCTCCAAGTCCTCCTCCATCTGCATCCTCTTCACCGCCCTCACCATCTCCTCACAATGAACCACCTCCTCCAAAGCATCGTGCTCCCTGGGAAATAACCCCATTATTTTGTACAACGATCCGTATTCAATGCGGACGAAAACGCAATCTGTTGTTGTGACCACCGTGTGTTTTTTCGGGATGCAAAACAGCATTTCCAGCATGCCGAATGGGTATCCGGGACCGACGTTTCGGTCGAAGCCGTCCTCAGAGTTGTACACGTCGCAGAAACCTTCTTGTAGGACAAACATTTCGCGAGTGGATGTTCCAAAAGTGTAGAGAACCTCGTTGTAGGGTAGTTTCAGTAGCTTGGCTTCTTTTTCCATCAGCTGGGGAAGAAAGAAAACAGGGGGTTCCATGATTGTGGTACCAACACTCGAGTCGTGAAGCAGAAAATAATATGCAATATACATTTTTATCCAGAGTCGGTCCCTTTGGGAGATTTTTGCATTTGAATGATGTGATTGTGAAGTTGAGGCTTTGAAATATCCTGTTGAGCTGAAGTTGAGAGACTATTAAATTTATGCTGCAATTGTAGGTCAGTTTGGGTTTGTTCACTAGGTAATACATTGGTCACGTTTATACCGTAACCAGAGACTAATGACTATATTATAATCAGATACTACATCAAGGATATTACATAGTTTTTCGTTGTGTCGAAATCAAAAATATCACACTTACTTTAAGGAAGTAACCATCAACCATTTGAAATAGTGGCGTATCAGCTAGGGTGTTATTCAATTTGCAGCACTCAATCAATGATGTCAAATGATTGGAGGCAGTGTCGTTGATATACTTTTTTGTTCCTTCTGAAGACAGGCATGGATCGATCTTTAAAAACCTCTCAATTCTTTTCCGAGATGAATAGGAAATGCGACATAAAGAAGAAAAGCTGAAAAATTCAAAGCAGTCAAAAAAACAATCCATAAATAAAATCGTGTATCTTTCACCCCCTGAAAAGGGGCCTCAATCTTGCACCCCCCACGTGAAATATTTCAAAGTAACCAGATGAAATCAACCGAGAAGTGAAATAACTGTTGAAAATCAGTCCACTCAACATCACCATCAGCACTATGGCAACGTCGCTTCGAGTACGTGGCAAATAATCAACGAATCCGTTGAAAAAAAATGCCGTCGTGGTGAAAAATATCGAATCGACAACTGGGTGCATGGGATGGTTTTTCTTGTCCCATTCGAAAACACTCAACTGTAAAAAATGTTCTGTGAGTCTAGTTAGGACTGGGTTCATGGTTTGGCCTATGTATGCGTACTCACGTAGTACCAACTGTTGCTGTCGCATACTCCATAGAAGTATGCATTCAAGAAGAGGAGACATGAGAAATAGTAGAGGATTAACAGAGTGTACAGGGTGATTCGAAGAACGCATCCAACCTGAAAAATCACATTTCACGTTCTAATCTCCGAACGTAAGACCGACTATTTCCGATGTCTATTATAGGTTATGAGGCCTCGACATAAATAACTATACGTCTTGCATTATCCTAAATATTCATTCTCAGTACTTACATATGAGATGGAACTAATATTATTATTGAATAATTTGATTATCTCGTTTATTTTGTGCAATCTCAAAAGTCTGTTGAATTTGAATAAATCGTAATATCTGATTCTGTCTACAGGATCACTGAAGAGATATCCCCATACCTCTGAAAAATAAAATTGAAAAATATATGTTCACGTCTGTTATCAAAAATTATTACCGATTGGAAACAATGAAAATACATCCAAATCAAATCTAAAATCGTCTAATCTATGGTCTATAATTTTGGGGACACTGCTCAACAACTCTTGTTCCTGAAATAAAACATGTGACAGTCCATCAACCGTTGAAAATCCACCATAATGGAAAAATCAAGGAGATTCAAATCAGGCTAGCAAGCTGATCAAGTTGACAAAACATAAATTATGCATGACAAATGTTTACCTCGATACTGACAGCAGTGATACACTGAAGAAGAACATCTAAGAAACACAAAACGTCGGCTATTATGCCCAGTTCTACCATTGGTTCTCTGACGTATTGGAAAATTACGTAATAAGGATATACAAGGCAATAGCTGATCTGGATGAGGTTGTTAATGAATTTCCATGTTTTAAGCTACGAAAAATTAAACATGAACATGAATTCAATGCTATTTTTTGGAAAGTAGTACCGGATATGAGTTATCTTGTAAAATCCATGGAAAACTGTCCTTTATACAAACTATGGACTCATTGAAAATATTCCTCCTTCGTGATATCTTATACAGTTTACTGTAATCTTTGGATTCATTAATGTCTTCGTCTTCAACTGTTTTGTTCAATTTCCTTTTCAGCCGTCTCAGACAGGTGACCGAAAACGGCTTGATGATGGGATTTTTTTTGACAGAAACGTCTTCTAGACGACTTTCGATGGTCTTCCTCATTCCTCTCAGAACTTCTGGAAAATTTCGCATGATCCTTATGAAATCGCTTTTTTCCAATATGTTCAGCTCTGTGAATTTGGTAGCTCTCACTGTACCTTTCGAAGGCACGTTGAAAAAGAGCGATACTTCTCCTGGAACATTAGTATACAGTCACTACACATTTCCTCTTTGTGAAAAACTTCACAGACGATAAGATTTCCACACGACATGCTTTGTCAACACAGCAGCTTCTTCAGGTGAATTTTTTTTTATGTTCTGGTTCCCACGAAAAGGAAAATCCTGTAATGTTCAGAGAACATCGTGAGAACCAAGGGAAATAAGGTAGGAATTGGTGTTCTTCTTAAATTTCTGGAGGTTATATGCCCCGGGAAACACCTCCCTTGGCAATGTGTTCCAGAGCCTCGCTGTTCGTTGGATGAACAAGTCTTTGGAAAGGGATGTTCTGCAGGTCTCCAAAGTGACCACGAAGGGGTGCGAGGTCTCAACTCGACGGGTTAATCTCGCGGGGACAGCCAAGGGAGGAACAATTGTTGATATTTCAGAAGAGCATCGTCCATGAAAATATCTATAAACTAGAGGCAGATCGCCAACTTTTCTTCGGTGTTCCAGAGAAGTGGGTAAGTTTGTGAGCGAAGCATCACCCACTAGACGAATCGCCATCTTTTGGACAGAATCCAACAGTTTCAGGGTATGTTTGGGTGCTTTATAGATCTTAAGCAGCTGACTGGAAGTGAAATAGCTCCTGGCTCGAAACAGAAAACCAAGATTTTGGGATGCACTTTTAGCAATTGATCTCACGTGATTTTCCCAAGAAAGGTTATTGCTGATAGTAATACCAAGCATCGAAATGGATGTCTTCAAAGGTATGGTTACTCCTGAGCACAGTGAGATCGGCTTTTCTAGAGAAAAGGCATGATTGTGTTTTGTTTGAATTGAAATCTACCAAGTTATTGGATCCCCATTCGAGAATTGTTGCCAAGTCCATATTTATATTGTCAACATTTCTCCCGTGTTTATTTCTCATTTGCCTGGCTGGTATTGGAGCCTTGGAAGAGAAGGCGGTATGGAGGGTACTATCATCCGCGAAGCTGTGTACTGTACATGAAGTTGCTTCCAACAAATCGTTGATATGGAGTAGAAATAGTGTTGGTGCTAGAATTGATCCTTGCGGAACACCAGCATTTATGATAAGAGTGTCAGATGAAACTCCGTCGACCACTACGTAAAGAGACCTGTTTGAAACTCCAAATTCGTTCTGAAACAAGATATAGATTTACTCATCCCAAGATTATATTATGTCGTGCATATTTATGACACTTATATTTGCTTCATTCAATTGAATTTTGCTTGATCCAACGATTAATTTTTTTCCGTGTGTGTTAGCCAAACATGTCGTGTGATTATGACTTTAGTGGGAATCTTATTGTTTGTGAAGTTATTTCCATCAAGTAACGGCCGAGTCAATAAAAAAATATTTAGTACCTAAAATTGTCCCCTTCCTGAAACAAATAACAGAGCTTTCTCCATCTTCATTGTGCAACAACTCCAAAACTCCATTTTCCACACATATCATACACGTTTTGACAACATACTGGTGGTAAATCGCATCCCCTGGCAAATGCCTGACTAGCTTCATAGCAGAAGCTAGTTTCGTTAGTATTAGCTCAGGTAAATCCTTCAGAAGCATCGATCTATGCAACAGGCCGCATTTCATGTCGTAAACGAGAGAGGTTTTTAGAGGAGATGGTAAGGAGTCTAGAAACGAAGGATTGTTTGTTGTCCAGAAGGTTTTATAGTACTGGTTGGTTTTGGATTTCGTTAAAGGATCTAGATCTTCGACGTATCTGGCAATGTCCTTTTGCTACAAAATAATTCCTGGAATAGTGTAGCAAACTGATTCAAAAGCTCTTACCTTTTGGGCAAGGAAAACTTCATTCGTTTTGCTATTTATCATTAGCAAAGTCATACTAGCCACTAAGCATACTAACAATACCTGACCAACCAAAAAAACTCCAATGAAAAGGATAACCTCGGGTAAACTCCGTGGAAATACATCTCCATAACCAACGCCAAATAAAATTTGAATGGTACCGTAAACATGCATAAAGTACCAACTTCTTGGACCAACTGTGGGAACCTGGAAAAATAAGAGTTCCTAGTGATTCTTGTTTCAAGTTGTGATTTCCAGTTAATCAGTCATTGAGTACCTTCTCTGACCAATTCTTCTTGTCGCGATCGATCAAGTACCAGATGAAAATCGTACTGTGCACGACCAAAAACAGTACCAGGCAGTACTGAACACAGCACCAAATCCAGCGTCTTTTCTGTAGCTTTTTCAATTCGTTTTTGAAGAGGGCAATACATCGGAGTCTCAGAAAAGTTGCTACTCGGGAATAAGGGATCAGATAGCTCAGATTAAGATTAAAAAGGGGTACGAACATTATTGCTTGAGGAAGAATAGAAAAGGAATCGAGTATGAGGTAGAAAAGTGGAGTTGTAATTGTTGTTGGAAGCTTTGTTTTCAGAGGTTTGGAAAATCTGTGGAGTAACAGGAGCACGAAATTAATAATGTAAACCAAATCGAAGGTGATGTAGAATGGTAGGAATGTGAAAAGATGATTTGGTGTGAATGATAAGTTCAGAGTAACTATGATGTAGTTGGTTACAACTGTACTCAAAACGAAAAGCTGGAATGAAAGATTGTTGTTAGCTGATGAGTTTCCTGATAAAATTGAAAGACTTACGTTCCAGATGATGGATTCGGGAAAATTCAGGATACTGAGAGAAAAGTCTTCCCATTTACTTCGTTTTTGGGTTTTGAATGTAACAGAAACCAAATCACTGCTTCTGATTTCACGGTAGATGCTTTGTGTGGTGGAGCTCATCTCTTACAGAGAAAAAACGACCCTCGTCGTCACGAATATGACAATATGTCATCAAGCATTGACAAGGAAGCATCATCACTAGTGACTACATGTACAGGGTGAACAACAAAGAACGACTGTCATCAATTATTCTTCCAACCTGTTGTGGTTTTTATTTCAAATCACGATATCCATTGGTTCTCTAGATCACGTCCTCTAGCGGCAACCAATTCAAATCACAGTTGATAGAACGGGAACAGGCCTTTCCAACGAGCCTAATGTTGTTAAAATCTGTTAATGATAACCAGAATTATAGACGTTTAGAAAAAACATGATTTTACGTTCCACTACTACTTTATTTTTTGAGATGGGACAAAAGTATGAAACAAAAAACTAGGAATTTATCAAGGATCAAACTGCATATATTTTCAGTGCACCTTGTTACTACTGAATGCGGAGAAAATTCAAATTTTCTCTGTACTCATATAGCCGTTACGCCACCAAGTGGTTATTTTAGAAACCCAAAAATATTTCACAGCTCTTTTTCAGGGTCATTTCTCTTGGGATTTTTTTTTCAAAGTTGTATCGTTATTCGTTGCTGAGATATGGCCGACGGCCGTTTTTGGTTGTGCACCCTGTATGTACATGTATAAAAGTAGCATTTCTGGAGGATTTACCTAGTTCTTGGTTAGGTTACCCGGTATAGTGAAATGAATAGATTATCCATCATTCAATATGTTGATGTTATCTGATTACTTGATGTCATTTAGAAGTACCGTATTTCCCAACTCAATATTTGTTTTCTATATTTCTCATACTAGCGAGAATTTTTTTTCATAGATATAATCTAGCTGTTAAGGAATCAATAATCCATTGTAAACTAATAAAATATTAGAATATTTGATATAGGTAGATACCCGTCTAGTGCTGATTACTTCTAGAACGATATGAAAAATTCATATCTTAAATTATATTTTATATATCTACCTACTATCAAGTGTTCCATGTTTCTATATCATCATTGCAAGGTAGAAGTATTTGCATTCCCTCGTACTAAACTAATGACCAAATATAAGCAAGATTGGCCAATGTAATCACGAATAATTAATGTTGAACATTGAGATAACGGTTATAAAAAAATTAATCAATGTATCTATCATATGGCACATAGGTAACTTTTATTTATAAATGTCACACTTTCAAGAGCAACAAATGTGCACGAAACTTTTTTATCTCGGTCCAAACCAACAGTCATAGATGATAAGGTTGTTCATACATATACAGTTTGTCCATTTGAAAGACGTTGCGGCAATGCCGCTTCTATCAAAAAGTGGCAACAACTTTGATATTTCAAATGGAATACCATGTTGTTCATGGCATATTTAGATTCTCCCTGAAGAGCTGATCTCATCAATGCATCACACTTGGGGTCTAGGAGGAAAAGAAAGCTAAAAATATGTCCACAAATGTTCATAAAATGGACAACAATGAATTGACGCCTCAGTCACTAACATTTTTGGGTATTTCAGTTTGCTATCTGTTTGCATTATTTAAGAAAATATGTTTTTCCTTCGGCACTATGCGAAATACGAAATTTTCAGAAGAGTAACAAAATGAAGATAATTGATCATTCATATCTCGCTCAGAAAATTTGAGAACCCTATTCACCACCCCTAAGAATGTTCTGATGAAAATGTCAGGGGGTGAGAGTGGTTTCAACCCTTCTACAATTCCTTTCACGTTTCTTCGATTACTGAAAGAAGGTTTATCCTCTGAAATGCACTTTTGTCAAATTTCATCCAATTTTTTTTTTATATTCAACAGATATAATTCAATGTTCGACGTGGCAAATAGCCAGGAAAGTAGTTGTTTTTTGTTGAATAAACCGAAAAAGTCACATGGAGAATGCACGATGTTCTTTGAACATTATAGGGATTCCCTTTCGTGCGCTCCAAGCGATAAAAAAAATACACAGCTTGTCTCACTTTCAACGCCCCTCCCCTCTATATCCCAGTTATTAATCATGCGATTTCAACCAAATTTGATGTGGTATGAATACCCATCAATATGATCAGTTTTACAGAGATACACATTATGTTGGACAGTGCCGTGCGTTTTATTGAACTAAGAAGGGGTCGATTTTTCATAAAATCATATTAGGCATTTTTTTACAGGAAATCTAACCTCATATTATTGTTCGTCATGCTTTCGAACCCTTATATGCAAAAAATCACCTATCTCCGAATTAACAGGATTGGCTTGATTTTTTTCATTTTCAGTCTCGAATAAATAGTGACTTCAAATCAACTACGAATTTTGGAACGTTCAATGGCTCCGGTGGATGGAAAATCATGATTTGGAAGGCAAAACAGGTTATACTTTTTTATGTTGAACTCACCGTTTCCGAGTAAATAGTTTAGATGTGCCTGTTTTTCTGAAACCCCTCATAGGCATCTTATGAAAATCCACATGAAGAACAATATTATGAGGTCAGTTTTCCTGTAAAAAAATGCCTAATATGATTTAATAAAAAACTGACCCCTATTCATTTCAATAAAAATGCACTTCACTGTCTAAAATGATGTTTGTCTTTGAAAAACTGGTCATATTGGTGATTAAACACACCGATTCAAATTTGATAAAGATCGCACGACTGATAGGTGAGATATAGAGGGGGGGTCGTTTGAAATGAGACACGCTGTATATATACCCATTTTTTTGTGTTCATAGATATATCTGAGAATATTCCTTTTCAATACTTTCATCCAATTTGTTTCACTCATATTTGAACAGCAAACAAAAATGTTGATTTTTTTATGTAAACTTTGAACTCGTCTTACGGACAAACGGTACATATCTTTATGTAAATAAGTTGGGTCCAATTAACTTATTTTGAACTGTATTACACGTGGTAGCTTTGTGTCCCAGCAATTTTGGGACACCCTGTATATTTCAAATATTCAAATGCCAGTATACTTCCCAAAACCTCAACAAATTTACTTTTCTGCACTAGTGCGGAAAAGTGGATTTTGCCGCTCGCTGGTAGAATTTGTTTTTGCTTCATGTCCACCAGCAACTTCGTCATTCCACTCTGTAACACTTGATTGGAGAGAGGTACACGATGCACGTATTAGGATTTGTTGAAGCAGCGATACGTTTTACAGTTTTACTGCATGGTGTGCTGCCCAGTACCTTCCAAAGTTCCGTTGAAGGCAGAATAACGTGTTGCAGGAAAAATTCACAAAATGCCAAACTGTCCTAAGTGTGAGAAACCAGTTTATTTCGGTAAGTGGGTTCTTGAATTAAATTCTATATGGTGTACCCAGGAACTGGACTGCATCAGAAAATTTTGTTGTTTTGAGTAAGTGTATTGGTACGACCAAGTAACTTTGAAACAAACTCTGCTAGACATTAAATAAACAAGAAGATATAAAAAAAAATTGATAATATTTTTTCAATTTTTTTTCTGTAAAATGAGTAACAATATTCAAGAATTAAAAACACTTTAGGTAATAGGCACACAAAGTTTACGAAAAAGTTAACTTTTTTCACCGTTATCATGAACATCCTCATACTAACTAACGTGAATCAAATAAATAAAAGTAATATATGTATGTTTGTATAGTTATGGGCTATACAATTTTGCATTCATAACGAATTGGTTCAAGATTTTGGTGAGATTTTCTCAAAAACACGCTGATGGAATATTAATTTTGTTGATTTGATATTTTTTCGAAACTTGTCCCTTATTTTTCATCCTGCTGAGACAAAAAAAAAACGAATTCGATGGTTTGGATCACACTTAAGATTCAGCTTTTTCTCTAAATTCAACAATGCATCCCAAAAGTTAACTATATATTTTTTTTATATAATGTTTGTCGAAAAATGTGCAGTCAACAGATTATTTGATTCGATAGCAATTTTCGGTAACATGCTGTATTGAAGAACATGACGAATAATAACGAAGACGAAATTTCCTGAGAAAAATAAATATATTTATTTAATAACGTCATACTGAATGTTATTTATTTATTCAGTGATGCACGACACATGGTTCAGTGGCGTCCGTTTGCTTAATTTGAAAAAATAAACGTTCATCACAATGGTTTTGCTCCTTATCTACAGGGTGGTACGGTTTCTGATACAAAAAATTCAACAGTGTTTTCTACTCGTGACATAATATAAAAAAAGTTCATATACACATATACTTTGTTTTCGAGATATAGGGTGTTCAAAATGCGAGTCTGTATATTGTTTTTTGATGAAAAGTTCGAAAAGGTTTGGTCTAAATCAACAAAATTTCTCACAGATACCAAACTTTTCACACTCTCTGAGATGAAACAGTGAGCATAGCACTCTTGTTTCAATTACAATCAAATATTATGATTGAACTGAAAATGTTACTATATTTCTGAGCCGATTCAACTCGTAAATGGCAAAACGCATCAAAAACTCACAAGTAATGGGATTTCCCACGCAGAGATCGATGTATTTCCAGATTTTGAACTACAAATTGAGAAAGAAATGCACATATAAAAATTGGAGTGATTTTTTCCTTCACCACCCCCAGATTCAGCTGCCTCTGAATTACCTAATGAAATACTTTTTATTCCATCTCATAGAACGTCAAAAGTTTAGTATCTGTGAGAAATTTTGTTGATTTATCTCTAACCGTTTCGAACTTTTCAACAAAAAACAATATTCAAACTCGTATTTTCAACACCATCTCAAAAAGGACGCGTTTAAAAGTATATGTTTATATGATTTTTTCATTATTTCAACGAGTACAACACACTGTTGACTTGTTTGACCACACTGTATATACAGGATGTCCGTAAATGATAGGGCTGACATAGTGAGCTAAAATAATGTCAGTACTTCATACAAAAAAATTGCTACGGCACTTCATAACGGAGTTATTGCCTTGAAAGTTTGAATAAAAAAAATACATTTCATGTATAACTTTTAAACGGTTGCCATGGTATCATTGACATTGTTCCTTTTCAAATGTAAACGGCTGTTCAGTGATTATGTTTTATACAGTATGAGACATATTTTTTCCGTTTGATAGAGGCATTTTTGACAGAGATGGCAAATTTGACATTTTTCCTTAATTATTTTTCTACTAAAATGGTATGATTTTTTATCAACATCTTGCATTTTAGAAACATACATCCGAACCAGAATAAGGCTAGAACTTCATAAAAAAATGTCTATCGCACTTATTTACGGAGGTTCCGCATCTCACTTTGAATAATTTCAAACTATTGGTTTGGTATTTTTTGTATTGGTGCAGTAGTTACCTATTCAAAAGCTTCGTTTTATTCCGAAATCAAGATACCTACCTATATAGAAGTGACATCAGAGTGATTAATTTTTTGATTACGTAATACCTAAATGATATGGTCAACTCAGTCATTGAATGGATGAGGTCATTTTATTGCATTCAAGCCATATAAGGACTGCAATTGTGAGCATACAGATGAAATGGAGAACAAGGTTGATGCTAAATTCGGGAAAAGATTGAATAAAAAACGAAACGTTGATGATTTTTTTTTTTTTTTAATAATTCCATCAAGTACATGTAACGAAAATTTGATAGAAATGAAATAATATACTAATAAGTAGGTGACTAACATTTTACCAAATATTATAATTTCCTGCTCATACTGTATGTACATACATGCATACAAAAGTGTTCTAGGCCAGAATTACTATCTTGGAACATAATCACAAATGTTTCTATAGGTTTGAAGGATTATTATTTAGTTTCAAATTTCCTGATACTGTTGTTCGCTGTTCATTAGCGAATTCTTGGGGAACAAAAGTGCATATGGAGCTATTTATTTTAATTCTCATCACTCAATAAACATTCTAATACCTTTATCTGTTTGTAAAAAGGATGTTGTAAATACGATAAAGACCTCTCTTATCACGAAATACTGTGAAAATATAATACCTAACACGTTTAACAAATTGAAATATGAGATGATATTATTTTTTTGAAGGAAGACTATGCCGTATCTAATTATTTCTTCAAATCAAACATCCTGTGTAACACTTAAAAATTTTAAAAACCGTTACTCATAAGCATTTGCTCATTGATATGCAATGAGCAGAACCCAGAACAATGTTTGAAGTTCCTTGAACTAGTAGTGTACTAGTTGGCTAAATCTTTGGCAAGCTTCAGATACTCTCTCAAACAAAATTTTCCTTTTGTTTTTTGGGTTAGGTGCAAGAGTAAGAATGGAGTTATCCAATCTTGTATCCTATTGGTAGATAAAATTTAATCTAAATTGTATTTGCTTATCATTATTATTATTATTATTATTATCATTATTATTATTATCTGAATTGAATATTCTAATTGCCCTACTAAACTGAACTTCATCAAAATATGTAAAAACTTCACAAACGATAAGATTTCCACCAAGCCCACCATATCTATGCTCGGTATTTCCATCAGCAACACTCTTTCATGGGATAATCATGTCAGATCCATCGCAAAAGCTGCTTCACAAAAACTCGGATTCTTGTTCCGTGCGAAAAGCTACTTTACACCTCAACAGCTTCTCATGATCTACAAAGCGCAGATACGGCCTGTTCTAGAATACTGTTCCCACATATGGGGTTCAGCACCAAAACATACGGTGATGCTCTTAGATTCCATCCAGAGAAGAGCCATTCGCCTGGTGGGTGACGCCACACTCACTCACTCTTTGACATCATTGGAACACCGTAGGTTGGCGACCTTTCACTTTTCTATCGATACTTCCACGGGAAATGTTCTTCGGAAATCTCTGCTATCATCCCTTCACTAGCAATACCAATCAGACGAACTAGACAAGCTCAGTCAGCACATCCTTTCGTTGTCAACCTCGAAAGATGTCGAACAGCACTTTATCAAAACTCCTTCATCCATAGAACGGCTAGGCTCTGGAATTCATTGCCTGTGGAAGTATTCCCAACAACATATAATCTCCAAAAGTTCAAAAAAAATTCCAATACCTACCTCCTGTCCCTATCCTCCCTAGGAACGCACGATGTTCTTTGAACATTATAGGGATTTCCTTTCGTGCGCTCCAAGCGATAAAAAAAAAGATTCGCTAACACAGTAGCTTCGTCAGGTGATATACTGGTGATATACAAGTTCATTGTACCAAATGCAGATTTTACAGGGGCGACCCGATACCCTGTATCACCCGGTATGTATGTCTCATTTGCTTGACATTTTTTCGTTGGATAATGACTATTATGTGCCCATTTTCCATTTTTTAGATTGGCTACTAATTATTGCCCTCTATAGGTAGTGTAGTGTATGACATGCCTTTGTACTTTTGTTCTTACATTCCGCATTGTGTTATGAAACCATTACAGCTATCGCTGAAAGCTTTTTCAGCTCATTTTCGTTCTCTGCTATTTTTCCTCCTGGAAATTCCTACGTTGTCTTCAGAGCAAAAAATTCGAGGAAAAATATTTTTTATATGGGAACTTCATAAAAGCTGTGTTCATATAGGTTGAAAATAAATCATACTCACAAGATAATGAAAATTTGTTTGATTTGCTTCAAATATTTTCATTTCATTTAATTCACTTATATATTTTTAAATGATTCAATTTTCATTTCATATTTCTCAATTAGTTTCGCAAATACTTTTTCTAATTGAAGCCACACCCCATGCTTGAAATTTGATCAAATATATCACACATCATCTATCTATCACAGTATAATTAATTCCTCTCAAATTCTATAATTTTACGACGATAGTGACTTTACTAGTTTATCTGCAGAAAAAATTCAAACTTTCAAGTGATTGAGTAGTTGGAGGACTCTGAATTGCTTGCTAACTTGCTAACAAACATGGGCATTCCAATAATTGAAAAAAATTTCCTCGACTCAACATTTTTTGTGCACTCTGTATATGCAACAATAATTTCTCATTATAGACCCTGATGTCTAGTTTAACTTCGTTCTGGAATCATGTTTCAACTATCATAGCGCCCAAGAAATCGGAATATGGCCTTACTCTGTAGATCGATAATAAAACAGGACCCAACATCGATCCCTGAGGAACCCCACATAATTTCGTCGGTTTCACTTGAAACTTGCATTAAATAAACAAACTGTTCTCTTCCACCTGCTGTTATGCAATACATTTTTGACATGCTTTAAAAAAAAATTTCGAGAATTTTATATCCCTTCAAAATTTTTTTCGAAATTTTTTATTGAATATCCTCATGTTTCTAGCTGAAAGAAAGACTCCTTTGGGCAAAGACTAGCACTCCGCCTGTTTGAGATGCGAAAAATGCAAAAATCTTCAATGGAATCCCTATATTATCGATTTTAAAATGCAGATTCGGTTAATTATAATACCTTGTATGTTTGCTCGCCTATACCATAATCTATCGTTAATAGACGAATTGATCGTTAATAATAGCAGAGGCATCCAAAGAATATTCATAGAATATGATGAGGGTGTTCTGAATAGTCATAGAATGTTTCAGGAGAATATTCATCTAAATATCCTATAGGAACATTCCTAGAATGATCATAGAATGTATTGTTCAAATAGTCTAGGTATATTCTCCTGGTATGTTCATAGAATATATTATTCAAATACTCTGTTGTTCTTGTTTATTCATTGATTATACCAAATTAATTTTCATTAATGAATTTTTTTCTCGATATTTTCATTTAATATCTTTGTTTTCAGCCGAAAGGAAGACTTCTCTGGGAAAAGACTGGCATTCAGCCTGCCTGAGATGTGAAAAATGCAACAAGACCCTCACTCCCGGCTCCCACGCAGAGCACGAGGGCAAACCTTACTGCAACAACCCTTGCTACTCCGCCCTGTTTGGCCCAGGGGGTTTCGGGAGGGGTGGCGCTGAGAGCTATGTCTTCAAGAAGTGAGAGAAGACCTCGAGAGGCGAATTGACATTTTCCGATCTACTTAATTTTTATTTTTTTTTAGTTTTGTAGCCAGTAAATATAGAAAAATAAATATTTTATTATCTGGGAACGCTCATATACTGTAAATCATGAAATTCTCTTGAATGAATTGTATTGCATTGGCCTAAGAGGTCCTGTCTACGACTGGTTTCGAAATTATTTGAGTGATAGGAAACAATTCGTATGTTTAGGAGAATCATTCAGTAAGAGCGATGAAATAGTATGCGGTGTACCGCAAGGATCAGTATTGGGTCCTATTCTATTTCTTATTTATATCAACCCTATTGCAAATTCGAAGTTGAAAGGTATTATTTATGTTTGCTGACGACACAACCTTAATCTATTCAGCAGGTTCAGCACAACAAATTAAGGATGAAATTTCAAGTGATTTGAAAATATTATTTTCATGGTTATCATGTTATGAATTGAGTATAAATTATAGTAAATCAGCATTTATGATCATTTCAAAAAAATCAAGATATAATGAGTACAAATTTCCATGCATTTTTTCTTATTTTCATTTGTAGAATCACCTCCTGACGGAATATACGAACATTATTCTGGGACACCCTGTATAAAATAAACATTTGTCCTGACTTGCATGATTTTTGAGAGACCTATAAACGATTTCTGTAAATAGAATTTTTATTGATTGCTCAGAAGTCTTTGTCAATTCTATCAAAACTTGATGGTGGTCTCGGTAATAGAAACATGGAGCTTTTTTTAGTATAATTAGTTTCGAAATACTAATTCCAGTGGCGTCGCAGTGAGTTACCTTATCTCGTCGATATTTATGTTGAAGACACTGATTTTCACGAGTTTCATATTCTTATTATACCAAACAATTGGAAATACAACTTTTTGGTCCCTCTTATTACTTCATGATGCTTTATGTATCCCGCTTTGATTTTTGAGGAAACAATATAAGAATTCGATTCATTTCTAAAATTTCAATGTAGGTACTTTCAATGAGTATCATTCTGAAATTGAGAGATGTTGTCATCACCAACCAGGCTGAATTTAGTTTATACAGGGGGGATCATAAAAAGAATCGATCGATACTTTCGACTTCAACTTCCTGTATCTCAAAAATCAAGTCAGGACATGACAAGATTCCTTTTTTTTCTCAAAATGAGGCAAGGAATCACCTCATGAATTTTTTTCCACTCTCTCATTCACATTTTGTATATTTCTTATATTTTTACAAATTATTTTATACAGGATATCTGTGGAAAACACATCCCAGCCCATCTATATTCCTTACAATATCCCGATACAAATAAATAAGTTGCATTTGAAGCTTTTATGAGTCTATTCAGCGATATATAATGATCTGATATGTTTTCCTAACCCTGTATAACTCTTCACATATACCTACTGAATTCCAGCAAAAATCCTGGACAAATATCACATCAACATGCTTGTTCAAATTCATCAAAATATAACCTCAGAGCTGTTATGGACGCTAACTTCCTTTTTTTTCAAAACTATTTCCAAAAATATGAGTGTCCTGTCTTTTCCCTATCTGTTTTCTTCTTCAAGAATAGTAATTGTTCAATGTGTATTGAGGAATAATACAATGAATAAAGAACACAGTAAATTCGTTCATGTTGTTCTTTCATATTTCTTTCAATTTTCCTCTTTCCAATTCCATATTTCTAAATATGACGAACACTGTTCAATTGAGGAACATCGATCGGTTCATTCCGGTCAGTAGGCAACCAACATTGCAAGTTCGTAGTAGACGTAGTTGCCTGTTATTTCTAATCCAGCAATTTTAAATGAAATGTTCTAATACAACGTTGTCAGGTCTCTCATTTTTCCTGCGAACACCGTATTACGATGAAATGATACGACATGAGCCGTATTTTAAGTCAGATGTACAGTCGCATTCAAAAAAAGCGTACAAGTATATTACAGAGAGAAATCAACGTCATCCTATTCTGCATTAAACGGGTTATCAGGAATGATTGTTCACCAAATTTTGACAGTAAAGTTGTCATAGGTTCTCGAAAACACAATAAAGCATTGGCTGAGCCAGTTTTACACACTAAAATCCCGAAATCCTCTCTTTTTAATACTTGTAGGTAAGCTTTTTTATTTAATACGACTGTACTTGAGTAATGACACAAAATAAAAGGATTCCCTAAATTCCTATTCCTAGGTTGGGTTGGGTTGGGTTGACTAAATCCACATATACATCTTGATAAAATTATTGATGTCTCAGTTATATTTTTCTGGAATTAAAAGAGGGAGGAGGAAGAATTGAATAAGATGGCTTCCCTAGAATGTTATATTTGAACAAAATCAAATGTTTTCCTTTTCCATTATACGCATTATTAGGCATATTTCACACAATGCATGGCACTTATTGTTTGGGTTGTCTGGTCTCCCTTTCAAAATGATGCAGAGGTATCCATTGTTTGCCTTGTTCCAAAATTACTAAGGAAAACAAAGGAACGACGTGTTAATTATACCCTTGTGTATCTTTTCTGGTAGCTCTGCTACCACGCTACCTCACTTATAGACGGCCAAAAGTGTCTTCACTCTTCTGCCTATTTGGCCTATAGTATAAATGCCAACACAGAAACTGATTCTGAAAGTCCTACACGTACTTTATACAGGGTTGGGAACACTTCCCAAAAAGTTTCACTATTCCAATATAATATATTATCATGTATACAGGGTGGGTCACGGTTGATGGCACCTTATAGACGTTTACGGACCCCACTAAGCAAAGTTGAGAGATATGTTGATGCAATGTTGAAGCAAATACTGAAATGGACGTTCAGTAATATTGCAAAGGTGAAAAGTTTGATAATGTAGCGTTGCAGCAATATAACATGATACTGTGACATTGCAGGAACGTCACATTCACAAATTTACATCTGCAATATTGCTGAACGTCAGTTTCAGTAATAATTGCTACAATCTCGCATCAACATATAGCTTAGAAATTTGCTTAATGGGGAGAACGGGACATGCGATCATTCTGAAAATGTGGTTGCTCAAGAAATTGCTCTCGATCTATCGATCTTAAATTTTTTCAGCAATGCAGCGTTGCCGCTTAAACCAGAACGTAGCAGCATCTTTGTTAATTCAAAGGGACACGCTGTATATTACTGCATTTTTGAACTTATCATCACTCTCTAATTATTTCTGCCTCATACTATCCTATACCTATCTTTAACGGTTTTTGAGACATTGATTATTTTGCATATTTTTTATCCAAAACATAGCTCAAATTGAATGTTTTTTTCTGCGGTATTTAGATTCTTAGGAAATTGCAATTTTGTGTTTAGGTCATCAAGATCATGTATATTGATTCTGTAGAGAGAAATTTCTTCTGCGTTATACAGGGTCGTTCAAAATTCATGATCTTACTGCTAGATACAAAGAGGGTTGAAAGTGCGTTTTCTTGACTGGAACAACCTGTATATTATGGAATATCCTGAAAGATGACTAAGTTCCCTTCGAATTGATATATCATGTTCCTATGACTTCTGTAACAATCCTGGGTGTCGTGGCTCTTCATCCAAAAATCTCCTCACATGCTTCAACCTATTAGAAAATAATAACCATCTTGCAAGATTCCAATGTTTGTATTATGGTAGGTATTCACTATAGGTGGTATTATCGGTTGTATCTCGACTTATACCTCTTTCTGCTTCTAGGCACCCTTGTATGTCTCAGTCAAAATTAGCCTTCAGAGTTCTCAGAATCCTACTCACATCTCCACTCCATGCTCAGGCGACATGGAACATCATGCTGGTATCTGTTGTTGGTCCCACGCTCATGATATTATGCTCTGCAGAAATAATTGATCCAATAGAAATAATACTGCATGAGAAAAAACAACGGAATCACAGAAAAACACTGCTATTTCCGAAACAAAGTTAATTCTGATCATTCAAAGCATCGGATTTTGCCTAAACATGGCAGAGGCGTATTTCTAATTACAAATCATTCTTATTATAATTATTGAAAATATTTTTTAATTTGCCAATATTATGTTCTGCAGAAATACTGATTATTCGACTGGGAAAATGAATAATTTAGTGAATCGATAAAATTCGTTTTTAAGTAACGACAACTTATCTGAGAAATCTCCATATTTCATAAGCCTTTCTGGTATAGCATTCCAAATTTAGAGTTCTGAAGTAAAGTGTCCTACAAGCGAATGAGGAGTTCTTGTAAATACAGGTTCTGAGATTCTGAGACATCTGCGATGGTTTGCATTGTTCCTGGAATATCCTAAAAAAACCATGAATCAGTTTTGTGATTTTCTGATTGCGCCATATGAATATAATATACAGATGTGGAAGAAAACATGATTCCACCCTTCTAAGGGCACTGCTTCATTGAAACAACGACTGTTGCTTTCCTGTAGGGCAAGAATAATTTGGAAAAGAACTGGTATAAAACCACTGTTTATACCTAACTCTTGAAGGCGACACCCTCCTTTGTAGAGAGGCATTACGAGCGCCAAAGTTGATACACTCCCCTCGTAAGGGTACCTGACGTGATTCCATACACTCACATCAATGAATGTCGACCAAATATTCGACTGAATAAATAAATAATTTAGTGAATCGATGAAAGTCGTTTTTTCATGAAAGAATGTCCGAAGAAGAATAGAACTATGAGATGAATTTGAGGAGTGAAAATTTCGAAGGCAATTGCAACTTATCTCAAAAATCTCCATGTTTCATAAGCTTTTCTGGTATGGCATTCCAAATGTACAGTTCTGAAGTGAAGTGTCCTACAAGCGAATAAGTAGTTCTTGCAAATACAGGTTCTGAGATTCTGAGACATCTACGATGGTTTGCATTGTTCCTGGGATATCCTGAAAAAAAAAACTTGGATTAGTATCATAATTTTCCCATTGCGCCATATGAATATCATATACAGATGTGGAAGAAAACATGATTCCATCCTTCTAAGGGCACTTCTTCATTGAAACAACGACTGTTGCTTTCCTGTAGGGCAAGAATAATTTGGAAAAGAACTGGTATAAAACCACTGTTTATACCAAACTCTTGAAGGCGACACCCTCCTTTGTAGAGAGGCATTAC